AGGCTGAGGCTGAGGCTGAGGCTGGTGCAGGCTGAGGCTGAGGCAGGCTGAGGCTGAGGCCGAGGCTGAAGGCAGACTGAGGCTGAGGCTGAAGCAGGCTGAGGCTGAGGCTGAGGCAGGCTGAGGCTGAGGCTGAGCCAGGCTGATGCTGAGGCAGGCTGAGGCTGAGGCTGAGGCTGATGCAGGCTGAGGCTGAGGCAGGCTGTGGCTGAGGCCGAGGCTGAAGGCAGACTGAGGCTGAGGCTGAAGCAGGCTGAGGCTGAGGCTGAGGCAGGCTGAGGCTGAGGCTGAGGCAGGCTGATGCTGAGGCAGGCTGAGGCTGATGCTGAGGCTGATGCAGGCTGAGGCTGAGGCAGGCTGAGGCTGAGGCCGAGGCCGACGGCAGACTGAGGCTGAGGCTGAAGCAGGCTGAGGCTGAGGCAGAGGCAGGCTGAGGCTGAGGCTGAGGCAGGCTGATGCTGAGGCAGGCTGAGGCTGAGGCCGAGGCTGATGCAGGCTGAGGCTGAGGCAGACTGAGGCTGAGGCCGAGGCTGAAGGCAGACTGAGGCTGAGGCTGAAGCAGGCTGAGGCTGAGGCTGAGGCAGGCTGAGGCTGAGGCAGGCTGAGGCTGAGGCTGAGGCAGGCTGAGGCTGAGGCTGTGACTGCGACTGCCGTTGCCACTGCGACTCTCATCGCGACTGCGACTACGACTGCGAGAACAGCAGAATTCTACAACTGGATTATCATCTGAATCTTAAGGGGAATGCTTCCAGATATGCTCCTACACATCGCTGTTAGGTTGCTTTGCCGGGATAATATACTGAAAACGGGACCCGTCGCTAATACACGCCCCCTTAATCCATATCTGCGATCGTCTGACTTCCTCCGCCTCCTCCTGCTCCTTAGCCTCCAGGCTCCTCCTGTTTCTCGTGCCCGACCTGCTGCTGCTCGCCCTCCTGCTCCTTCTCCCCCTCCCCGGTGTGTGGACGAAGCAACGGACCAGGGGCGTGCACTCCTCCTGCTTACCTTCGCCGTCCTCACAGTCGTCCCTCCTCCATCTCCGTCCCACTCTTCCCCTTTGCCCTCCTCCTCCTCGAGCCATCACCATCACCATCCTCACCCTGATCGGCATCCTCATTCTCCGCCACACCCTCTGTATCCTCCTCCTCCTCCTCCTGAACCTCCTTCTCCTCCTCCTCCTCCTACCCTTCCTCCTCCTCATCGTCATCATCATAATCAGCATCATCATCATCATCATCATCATCATCATCATCATCATCATCATCATCATCATCATCATAATCATCATCATCATCATCATCATCAGCATCATCAGCATCAGCATCAGCATCAACATCAGCATCATAATCAGCATCAGCATCATAATCATCATAATCATCATAATCATCATCATCATCATCATCATCATCATCATCATCATCATCATCATCATCATCATCAGTATCATCATCATCAGCATCAGCATCAGCACTAGCATCAGCATCAGCATCAGCATCACCATCAGCATCAGCATCATCATCATCCTCATCCTCATCATCATCATCACCATGATAACCATCAGCATCATTCTCCTCACCCTCCTCGTCCCCCGCCCCCTCCCCACTGGCCCAGACACCTCCTGGAACAGCCTACATCGACATTCGGCACCCCTTGACTAAGCCTCCCACCTCCCATTACTCATCCCCTTCCTCCTGCCCGCGTCTTCTTCTCTTCTCACTACCTGTCCTGCCCCTTCTCGTCCCCCTGCTCCCCCTGCTCCCCTCGTGTTCCTCCTCCTCCTCCTCCTCCTCCTCCTCCTCCTCCTCCTCCTCCTCCTCCCCCATCCTTCTCCTCTTCCCCTCCTCCTCGGGCCCTCCCCGGGGCAGCAGCTCTCCAGGGCTCTGGGGCGCGCCTGGCCGCTCAGCTGAGGCGACCGCCGTCTCAGAGACAACCGAGGAGTCCGCGGTCTCCCTGCCAGTGGCGGTGACTGTTTCTACTGCTTCTCCTCTCCTCCTCCTCCTCCTCCTCCTCCTCCTCCTCCTCCTCCTCCTCCTCCTTATCGTCCTTCTCGGCTTGCTCGTCATGCTGGTCACTCCTCCTCTTCCTCCTCCTGCAACCTCTAAAACTAGACGCGCTGGCCGCTCTCCGCGGGGGCTGGGGTCGGGGGGCAGGAGTGCTTGAGGGCGTGACAAAAAGCGCCCTGTCTGTTCCAGGATCTCAGGGGGTCTAGGTTTCGGGGGGGAGACTGAAAAAAGGGAGACCAGGACAAAGGAGATGGACAGTTCTTGGGAGCCGTGAGGGGTGAAGTGTATTCTTGGAGTTTCTCAAGGGTTCTAGGACCTCAGAGAGGAGAACGAAGGAGGGAGATGGGAAGGAGCAGAAAGATGAGGAGGGCGCGTCGCTGAAGGAGGAGGACGTCGTCCACAGGATACTGGAGCACGTATGCCGAAGATATGCTGAATCGACCAGGGGGACGAACAACATAATGGGCTGGCCGCTCAGAGGTTGAAGTCGTGGTTTGGGGAGCCCAGGGCAGAAAGACTGGGGTGCTGGGGTGTCAGACCCGGAGCAGGAGTCGGAGGTGGCTCGAGGGTACCCCTAAATGGCCGAAGAGCTGCCCCGGGAGGCCCCAAGAGGCCCCCAAGAGGCCCCCACAATGCCCTCGCGAGGCTCCCCAGAGACCCCCACGAGGCTTCCAGAGGCCAGCCAGCGGCACAAAAGGCGCCTCCAGAGGCCCCCCAGGACTGCCAAGAGACCCCCCACGACGCCGCACGAGGTCTCCAAGAGCCTCTCGAAACAACTCCGAAGAGAGGCAGATTCCTCATCCATCTGTTCCTCTCCATTCAACTCCCTCCTCCCCCTCAATCTCTCCCTCCTCCTCCGCCTCCTCCCTCTCACTCCTCCTCCTCCTCCTCCTCCTCCTCATCATCATCATCATCAGCATCATCATCATCATCATCATCATCATCATCATCATCATCATCATCATCATCATCATCATCATCATCATCATCATCATCATCATCATCATCATCATCCTCTTCCTCCTCATGCTCCTCCTCCGATTCCTCCTCCATCCTCCCCCTCTTGGGGTACGACGTTTTACGCAGCCTCTTATACCAGTGCATGTTCCTCCACTTCCCTGATCAGGGCAACTCGTCTGGGCATCACTTCTGGATGGGCTGGTGGAGTTGCGCGAAGCATCTAGAATTCAAGCTGTGATCATCTAGCCCACAAACTGAAAGATTCCGCGGCCGTTCGCCCAAGAAGAGATGCCGCAGGACACAAAACCGTCGGTCCGAAACCACACCATGCGACTACGCCAGAGTCAACGGATAACGGAAAGTATGGAGGACGGGACCGAATACCCCAAATGCAAATAAACGCACGAGTCTCCTTCGAATACTCCCTTGAACGCCACCTTTCGGGTGATGATGCGGTCTGGCGGTGGGACGTGTACCATGTTCGGTTTGCGATGGCCTTGCACTGGATGGGTCACCAATCGAACTAAATGCCAAGTTCCCCCCTTACATGCTTGCACACATGGTTCCTACTGGTTTCGGGTCTTCGCTTGGAGCCCACCCGCGATCGCCTCGTGCCTGCCCCGTGTGCTGGATGGCAGTTCTGGGTTTGCGCCCAGTCCCCGCTCACCGTCGCCTCGTGGTCACCTGGTGGCCGGCCCAGGCTCTGGCGGGCGCTTCCGGATGTCCGCCCAGCGCCCGTCCGTGGCCGTCTCGGACTCTCGCCAGGTGCCCACCTGTGGCTGCCAAATGGCCGCCTTGCGCGCTGGCTGGCGGCTGCGAAGCTTTTCGCCAAGTGACCGCCCGTGGCCGCCTCGCGCGCTGCCTGGCGCTCCAATGGTGCCGTGTGGATTGCGCCCCACAGGTGTCACCGCGTATGCTCCCCGTGTCCTAATAAGAATAGGGTTCTCCACCCCCCTCTCCCCCCCTCCCCCCAGGAACTAATCGGTGTCCCTCCACATCTGGCTTCCATGATTATTATGCACGGTCGTTAATCCGAAGTATCAAGTGATAGCATGCCAGCCAGGCCAGTATCGACCCCTCCCGGTCAGCTCCTGCGAAAGATACGATGCGGCGCATAGGCGTTGATCTGAGAAAACCGTTGTGCATCAATCCTCAACAAACTGACCCGTCCGGGCTACATGCGCGCCCCCCGTGCGCGCATGTCAAAATCATGCAAAATCCCTCATGGACTTCGCACCGGTTCAAAACACAGCGGTTCAAGAGCTAGCAACAAAATGTCGAATGTCTGCGCGCGCACTCGCTGAAACCATGAACAAACCATGTGTTCTTCCTTCATTCGAGCAGGGACCGACCGTCCTGGCATTCCTGTAGGCCTCCCGCGAAGTGTTCGTGGAACCCAAACATGTTCCGATAACAAAAACCGTGTTCTTAGAACGTGAGCCCGATGGGTCAAAGCAGGACAGCCCCAGCCAGAAATGTTCCGAGAACCGTTCGTGCAGACCACAAAAGTTTCTTAGGACACTGTTTGGTAGGTCTATAGGCACGCCAGGGCGCTTCGCCGCTGCCTGATTCATGCCAAATGAGACCACGCGGGCCACACGCGCGCGCGCGTGTCGATCACATCCCACAGCCCCACAACTGATGGGCCTGTTTTCCACCACCACCACCACCATAGGTTGGAGGGGGAGGGGGTCCTCCTCCACCTCCTCCTCCTCGTCCTCCTCCTTCTCCTCGTCCGCCTCCTCCTCGTCCTCCTCCTCTTTCCCCAACTCCAACTTATGGTGGTGGTAGTGGTGGAGGAAAACAAGCCCATCTCACAACCAGTCCGCACCCCCCAACTTTGCCAAACAACACAGTGCTGGACACACGCGCGCGCGCGTCGAGCTCCCTCCAGAAGCAGTGGGTTTCGTTGCATTTCCACACAAACGCGCCCAACAACCAAGAAAAGACACAGACGCGTCGAACATTTAACACTTCTGCGTTCGGACTTCCTCATCATTCTCACTAGCGTCTCCGTCATCATCATCGCCGCCGTCATCATTGCTATTGCCGTCGCCATCGTCATCGTAATCGTCGTGGTCATCATCGCCAGCGCCATCATCACCGTCACCTTCACCATCGTCATCACTGATATCGTCACCGTTGTCATCATCGCTGCCGCCGTAGCCACCACCATCATCGTCCCCCTCCTCCTCATCATCATCGACATCAAAATCATCGACATGATCATGATCATGATCAGGATCATGATCATGATCATCGTCATCACCATCACCATCATCATCATCATCATCATCATCATCATCATCATCATCATCATCATCATCATCATCATCATGAATATCGTCATCGTCATCTGCATCGTCATCGTCGTCGTCGTATTTGCTGCCGTCACCATCGTCACTCACCCGCTCGAGTCACGGATCTGCATGAACAGAATCCGCACGTCACTGCGCCACTTGAGATTCGCGAGCAAGCTCCGATGGGTGGCTGCACTCACCGCCTGTAGGAGCTTTGCCAACACGTTGCGGGTGGGAGTGTGGATGTCTGCACGAGCATAGGGGTCTATGAGTCCAAATGTTCCATAAGTAAATGCGCCTCATCGTTTGCACCATGCAGCTTGGGCTACACTACCCCCTTCCTCTCCTCCTCCTCCACCTCCTCCTCTTCGTACAACCTCCTCCCTCTGGGGCCCAAGGCCTGTGGTCAACGCTCGCCTGGCACACGCTGATGACCAGCGCCGGCATCGTCACCGACAGCACGGCGGCCATCGCTAGGACTAGTGGGGTGGAAGAGGCAGAGAGCAGAAGGAAGAGAGACAGAATGAAGAGAAGGAACGAGGAGAAGAAACACATCATTGCCCGCGTTCCAAGTCTCGCTCCGAGGTTGTTTGTTTGAGTACCCATTGTTTCATACTTTCCTAGAGAGGAAGGAGGAAGTGGTGCTCGATGACGCACTCCACTTCGTGCCCAACTTATTTTCCAAGCATCGGTTTGCCAAACGCGCCAGAACATATGAGTTCGATGGGTGGCGGTGACGCATGCGGCCTGTGCCACTGGAGCCTTCGGTGGAGCTCCCTATGGGGCGGGCCGCGAAACGCTGTCCTGGGTAGCGGTGACGAATGCGGCCTGTGCCACTGGAGCCTTCGGTGGAGCTCCCTATGGAGCCACGAGACGCTGTCCTGGGTGGGCGAAACGCAGGGAGGTGACGAGGCGGATTGAAGGAGGGAGGAGGGGGAGGAGGGGGAGGAGGAGGAGAGGAGAGGAGAGGAGGAGGGACGTGGGGCGCTGTCTCTTAAAACGAGGACCCAACACCACAGGATTGCTGGCAACAAGAACCCCACTAAGCACGTGGGGAATTCCAAAACGTGAGAACATCGACAACACCACTGGCACTTACAAGTGCGATCATCGAGATACGAGAGTAGCTTCTTCCAGGGCGCTGCCAGACTCATTGACGAGAGCGACGCAGAGGGGAGACGGACACACCCCGGCTTGTATAGTCAGAATTTTCGGGCCGAGCATGTCTAAAGCATGGTGCGGGCAACCGCTGAACTTGCACACGCTTGTGTTGCCACAACGATCGCTTACCGAGTGCAGCTGGATGCCGGAATACATGATGCGAGGTGCTTTGCGCCAGGCAGTGCCGAAGGGACACATGTCAAATTGCGATCGTGCACACTGTGGCTGCGGGCAAGTCTAGAGACGCAGTTCTGCTTCCAGAGATACAAATACGCAGGATTTCCAATATCGTCAGGAATGCGGGAATGCTTGCGCTCCTTTGTGTTAGCCAACGTGAACCCTGAACAGTGAACCCTTGCAACCTAGGCGGTGCAATCAACGTGGTGCACTCTAGCTGGCACAATTAATGTGGTGCAGCCTATGTGGCGGAAAGATGTTAACACAACGCAAAGCAATGCAGAGCAAGGCACAGCGATGCAACGCAATGCAGCACAGTGCAAAGCAACGCAAAACAGTGCAACGCAGTGCAACGCAAGGCACAGCAGTGCAACGCAATGCCAATCAATGCGCGATAATGACAAGCAGTGCAACCCAATGCCAAGCAGTGCCCAGCAGTGCCAAGCAATGCAATACAATGCCAAGCAATGCAATGCAATGCAAAGCAAGGCAAAACAATGCAACGCGATACACCGCAGTGCAGATCAATGCAATAATAACGATGTCAAACAATGCAGAGCAATACCAAGCGATCCCAAGCCATGCAAGTTCGTGTTAAACAGTGCAAAACAATGCACAGCAATGCGCACCAATGCAAACCAATGCAAAGCAATGCGTTGCGACGCAAAGCAATGCAGAGCAATGCAAAGCAGTCCAAAGCAGTGCAAAGCAATGCAAAGCAATGCAACTATGGCATGTTATACTATACTATGCTGTGCTACTCGATGCTATGCGAAAGGACGAATGCAATGAGCGGCGGCGGCGGCGAGCCAGCCGGACCGACACTGGGGCGGGGACGGACGGCGGCGACTGGCGGCGACGTGCCCGCTGGACCGGCGCTCAGACTCAAATGACGGCAACGACGGCCGGGGACGAGCCGGCCAGACCGGCAGTCAGGCGCAGTTACCTTAGAAAGGAAGTGAGAGCCCCTGAGTGCAGGCACTGTTTGCAGACACGCTGTGCGGAACAATACGATTACTTAACGCCGCGACCTGTTTAGAGCGCCCCTGGATGTCCAAGAAGCCCTCGCGGTGTTGAGCTGACCTGAAAGCAGGGGGTCCTGCAGGCCTACTCCGAGCCCCCGAAAAGCAGTTGAACGGGGCTCTCAGGAAGACGCAAGTTACGAGGCCAGATCTGATCCACCCCCAGATTAACTGCAGCAGGCGGGGCGAAACCATTTATCTTAGTCACGCTGGCGATGCCCCTCTCGAAGATGGGGACATGTTTGGTCGCATGGTGCCGCCCCCAAGCGGCTAAGAAAGAGCCTAAACCGCAATGCATCTTTAGCACGACTGGGCAGTGCCTGCCCGCCAAGCGGCCAAGCCAGCGTCGAGGGTCTGTACAATCTGCGAGCACAGGCTCTGCAGCTCGGCGAGCTTGGGCGCGGGGGGCTGGGCGAGCTGCTCGTTGATTCGGCCTCCGCGCCCGCGGAGATTCAGAGCCTCTCGTTGAGCTCCCAATGGCCGAGACTCTTGGCGCACAGGGGAAAACCAACCGAGGGTCTGCGTAGCCGATGGCCGCGAGCGCGGCCCCGAGAATGATACCGTTCGTGAGCCTCTGGTGCAAACTCCCCGCCGCGCCGAGCGGGCCGGGCGCCGGTCTGCTCTGGTCCTCGGGGGCCCGCTGCGCGCGCGCCGGCCAGAAGGCTGCTGCCAGCGGAGCCAGCCTGATGCAAACCTGGGCGGCCGCCACGCGATCGGCACCGCACGGCAGGCCTGCTTCGGGGAACGCTGCGCGGCGCCGCAGCAGCGGCAGGGCCTCGCCAGAAGCGGGCGACGGTCAAGATGTCCAGGCCCATCGCGCAAGGCCAGGCGTTGACCCAGGTGTTCCTTCCTCTGCAGTCGACGCTCTGTCGGAGGGTGACCGCCCGCTGCTCGACGAACATTGAGACGCTGGGCGCTTGGGCAGGAGAGCCCAGAGTCGAATCGACAAGTCGGATCGGCGATCGAACTGAATCGCATCGGCGGAAATCGGCAGCCGAGTCGGGAAAAGTCGAATCGGCGGAAATCGGCGGGCTAGTATGCCTCCAACAAGAAGTCGGAACCCACATCGGCGTCCCGAGTCGAATCGAATCGGAATCGGAATCGGAAGCCATCGACGTCGAATCGAACCGGGTCGCAGGAGTCGAGATGAGCCCCGCGGGGGCGTGGGCGCTACAGGCAGGCCGCCTCTCTTGCCCGTGCGGGGGCCGTCGGAGCCGCGGGCTGCAGCTCGCGGCGCTGCGCGCCGAGAGCGGGCCTGGCCGGCTGGGCGGCGGGGTGCCGCAAGCGAGGCGCCCGCGGCTCCCCAGACGCGGCGCTGGCGCCGGAGGGCCTCCACGTCGGGGGGATCGCCCGCGAAGGCCGAGCGGGTCGCGGCAAGGTCCGCGGGATCGCGCAGAAGCTCGGGCCCGACAAGCTGCCAGGGGACCAGTGCAGGTGCAGGAGGGCGGGGGCCCTGTTTGGTGCCTCTGGTGCGGCAGGCCCCCAAGCTTCGCGAGGCCTCGTCAGCGATGGCAAGCTCGGACGGGCACCGCCTCCAGACGATGCGCATCCCGAGCGCCAGGGGCGCGGCCGCCACTTGACGACAAACCCGAGAAAGTCCAGCACTGGAGTTCCCGCCTTCGGCAAGGGCCAAGCTGGGAGAGTCATGGGGCCACTGTTTCCGAAGTGCCTCTTGCAATGGGAATCCACCGGCCCAGAAGGTGAGCGTTTTTTTATTCGGCGTTTCGACATTGGGCGGGATGGGGGGGAGGGGGGGGTCTGGCTCAGGACCTCTGCTTAGGGCGACCGTTTGCAGGAGTGCTGCCTCTGGTGGAGAATCCACCCGCTCGAAACAGGCGCCACAAAACAGCCAAGATCTACTGCATGGGGGGGAAGAGGGGGGGTTCGGGGGCCCGCGCCGATCGGCGAAACAAGTAAGAACAAACGATCACAAGCTCGAAGGGCGACCGACGCCATGGACCTCTCCTCCAGGACACTGCGAGCCTCTGTGCGCTTCCAGGCAGCGGGAAAGGACGGTGGCCCAAGTCTCATCTGGCAAACCGCTGGATACCTCGTCGAAGCTGTCGATGGGGACTCCTAGAGAACTCGGACACGTTGCAATGCCACCCCAGGCCTCGCAAGCTAGTTCAGAACTACGAAGGCTAAGCAAAGCCTCGTGCTCGCGAGAATATTGGTAGCGCTCGTAAGCCCTTCCGATCGTGGCGATCTCGCTCGCGTCGCAGTCCTTCTCCGAAATGCCCACCCCCTACTGCGATGCATCGGTGCACCTGGCTGCTTTGCATCACTCGGAAATGCAATCGCGATAGGTAAAGACGATGAGCGAGGCGCGTCAGCGCAAGTCTCGCCAGACGGCGCCCGACAGCGGCCACCTCGTCGAGCCTGCGTGCTGGATGATGGCGCAAACGGCGCGCAATCTCTTGAGGAGCTCGTGACGCATCAAAGCTCGAACAGCGAAGTCGGTGGTGACGATTCGGGTCGAATCCCCCGTCGCGAACTCCTGGCCAGCGCGAGACAACCCTATCCGATGCGCCAGGCCACTAGCGTAAACTTTCGCTGGTGGGTTAGCCGAGGACGACGCCGCCTGCCGCGGTCCCGGCCTCGCGCGCGCGGAGCCCCGCGCGCGGCAAAGAAACGACGACCAACTCGGTGACGGCCACCGCCCGGGCACGATCGATGCCCAAGCGGATCGAAGGTGTCAACGCACCCCGGGTGGGAGAACGGCCATCCAGTCGACAGTCACGCGTCAGTCGCATGGGTAAACGGGCGTCCGAGAAGGCGAGGGATGGGCAAGAGCGCGTGCCGACACGGGCAAGGAGATCCACCGACCGCTGGCGGATCCAGCGGCCATGCTTCCATCCCGTTGGCGCGGCGCGAAGCCGAGGAATGAGGTAATCGCAGTCCTGGGTGCACTGACCTTCATGATCCTGGCAATGCCTCCATGACGGGCACGAATCCGAGACAGACGCAAAAGACGCCAGCACTCGTGAGAGAGAGCCATGGCGTCAATATTATTCTCGATGTCGATGGTGCCGAAATAGAACGGGCCCTCCGCGTCCACGTGCAGCGAAGCAAACGCTGAACCTGTCGCGAGATTCACGTACGGCGGCCCCGCGAAGGTATCCCCAGCGGCACGGCCGTCGAGAATTAGTCGGATACGCTAACCATGCTTCAGTACGGAAAACAACACTGCCACGCTTGAGGTACAGGTCCGTCGCCAAGCAATGAGTCTGCTCCCCGCGAGTCTCGTCAACGGCTTGCCGTATAGACCGGGGTCCTTCTTCAAGCTGCCGTCCGTGTGAGCCTGACAGAGAGGGAGAGAGACCAGAGTAGCATCGGAATGAGTTCTCCCACTGGCTAGCGGCCGCGAGAGAGAGAGAGAGAGAGAGAGAGCGCGCGCGATGTTCAGCATCCGACCCGTCGGCCAGGCGAGAGGCGCGCAGACACTGGATGGGGGAGCAGGGTCACGAGGGGGAAGGGGGGCACCGAGCAAGCTCCGCGCGCCGGCCAGGCGGTCCTCGTGCAGGATGGCGAGGCCACGCAGGAGGGACGTGGCCCCGAGGCTCCTGTTGCTCCCGTCGAACTTGAAGGGGCCACATCCCAAAAGTAATATCGAGCACCCCGAAAAGTGCCGAACCAGTGTCGAACGAGTGTCGCTTCCCAGGGCCCGACACGTGAAAACCCTCAAGTGTTTCTGGTGCTCGAAATTCTTTCTGGTGATCAAGGCTAAAGTACGTGGGAACACCATAGCCCGAGGCAGGGGCCCCCCGGACGGGCGGCCCGGGCCCCGCAGGGAGGCCGGGGGCGTCTGGCGACCCCGCCCAGAGTCGCTGGACCGCGCGGCCGGGGAGCCTTCGAGAGGGAGTCGCCGGGGCGCCCACCGACCTGGCCGCCACCAACTATGGCAGGATGCGCTCCGACATCATTAGGGGAACGAGAATTCACATTTCCGTCGCAACTACAAGAGGTGCGTAGAATGTTTGTAAATCTACGGGCATCATACGCACGTGTGCTGCAGATCCGACGAACACATCCATTTTGACTTGCCCGAGTTCTGTAGTCGATCCCCCACTCGAACTCTGGATTTCGGGGGCACGCCTGATGCCAGGGGAACGAAAACTGACATAAACATAAAAGCTCGGAGGTCCGCGGATTCCTCGGATCCGCGCTGGACCCCGGCGCGAGTGGCCTCGCCAGAGGGGGCCAGCGCGGATCCGAGAGATCCGCGCGGACCTCCGAGCTTTGTTCATGCTCATGCCACCGTCCGCTCCCCTAGAATCGTGCCGGACCCGGAGGTTCCACAGCGACAACAAAAAACCCGCGTCGATGCCGGGGGCGGCGCCGGGTGGCCGACCATCAGCCGCAGCACCTCTGGCATGACGTGCACAGTCCAGTCGATGCGGACGGGGGCTGCCACCCTGCCGATCGCGGCGCTCAGAGACCGAGCGACCTGGTCGTCGACTGGCGTCGACTGACTACCTGCAGGCTCTGCGGCGAACGGGTCAGCATCCGAGTCGAACGCTGCCTCGTCATCAGACGTGGACTCCGAAGGCGACTGCAGGTAGTGTTAGGTCGGACGAAGAATAAAACATACCCCACAAATATTCAAACATGGTCAAGAATAGCAAACAAATCGTCCCCATATTATTGTTTGACTATTTTTGAATATTCCCCCTGTGGAGGGACAAGCCCGGATTAAAGGTAGTGCAGGCCTTTGAGCCGCGGGCCCGGGAAAAAACTGCGTTCGCCAGTCAGCGCAACGTAGCTGCCCGAGTCGTCCAGCACCGTGCCTCCTCGCACTTGGCGTGGCCATCACCTCGGTCCCGTCTAGCACTCCGAGCACTGTCTCGCTGGGTGCACTGAAGTAGTCCTGGCCGATCTCTTCGCGCAGCAGCCACACCGTCGCCTCTGGGGTCATCTCATCGAATCGAACCGCCACGGAAAACATCAAGAACGTACAATCTGGACACATGGGGCGCGTCGCCAGGGAACCGACAAGCCTCCGCGCGTAAGCCGTCGACGTAATGAGTGGGTAGTGCTGGCAAGGGCGTGACTGCGACTGCACGCGCCCGCCCACCCTTTGATGACCTTGAGCAAAAATAATTACGCAGCGGCACCCTCATACGCTGTCAGGAATCACGCTCAGCAGCACTGACACTGGTCATATGTAGGATGAAGGAGAGGATCGCGATGCAGGGAAAATGCAGCGGGTGGGTGACGTCCTGCGAAGCCGGGCAACAACTCGAAACGTATGCCGAAACACTCCACCTGCAGGTAGTCCTGTGCGGCCCGAGGGGCCTCCCCGACATTCCCGGCTCCCTCCCTCCCGATCCACCCTCCCCCCCCCGCCCCGCGCCTCGCCGGCCTGCCCCCTCCTAGGCTTCTGCTCCCCCCTCTCCTCCTCCAAGGCTCCCCTTCCCTTCCCCTCCCTCGTCTTCTCCTCATCGTCTTCTCCTCATCGTCCTCCTCATCGTCCTCCGCATCGTCCTCCTCCTCCTCCTCCTCCTCCTCCTCCTCCTCCTCCTCCTCCTCCTCCTCCTCCTCCTCCTCCTATTTCTATTTCCCCTGCCGACCAAGGTCGGTGACGACCAGCGGGCAGCAGATGACGCCCCAGAGGGGTGACTATGTAAGCGTCATTCAGTTTATTCCAGCTCCTGGTTGGTTGGGCTTTGACGCTTGCGCTGCACTCTCTTTCGCTCCTCAAGCCAGTTGGCCCAAACCTCCATGTGAACAGGGGTGAGGCAAAACCTCTCGGCGAGCTGCTGCTGGTTCCATCTCGCCCCCCACGCTCACCGCCCAACCAGCTCCAACAACCCCAGCCCCCCCACCACGGCGGGCTTCAAGGCAGAGCCATCCGAGCGGGCAGCAACTTCGAGGTCAAAGGGCGAGGCGGGCCGTGGCTCTCCGATGGTTCACCCCTTGTACTGAAGCGCAAATCCTGGGAAGAGTCTCTTTGCGGCTCTAGCTCTTTGACTTTGCAGCGCCATCGCCATGCCTTTGGGCGGGTGACAGACCTTGCAGAGGGCCTTGGGGGGGAAGGCCGAGGATGCGGTCGAAGGAGGTTGATGCGCATGAGCTCAAGACCCAGCCCCGCCAGGTCCTTAGCGTCACGTGCCGGCATGTCCGCCATCACGGCGTCCTGCAGCCCCGCACAACGCCTCATTTCATTGAAAACTGCCTGAAGACCCCATACTTTCTGACAACCTCTTTGGCGCTCGGGTGGATGGCGGCACCTGTCTTAGCATACTTGTGGGCGAAGTCTGACCCTAGCCTGGCGAAAGCGGAAGTCCGTCCCACCTTCATAGCTCCCCACGAGCAGGTGGCCGTCGCTTTAGTAGCAGCAGGTGCCACACCACCAGACAAGACAAGCATGTAGACCAGGGGTGGTACCTGGAGTTGCTGGGGTTACGCGCAAACGACGGGCGTCGCAGCGCTTCCAGTTCCTGCGCAGTCAATGCAAACATGAACGTCCACAACATCTGCGGCTCTTTGCTCCGCTACGACAACGTGCCCAATCCTCCCCGTCCCTCGCGGACAGGAAAGGGGCGGGCCCGAACGGAACGGCACCAAAGCAAGCCGCGATGAGTCGACCATCATCGGACCGTGGGGCCCAGGCAGGACCTGCCCAAAACAAAATCTGCGGAGGTTGCCGTCCTCAGGTCGACTCACCCCGCGGGCGCCCGCTTCGCTGGCACTGAGGAGGGAGGGGGCCAGCCCGAAGGGGAGAGTGAAGATGCCAGCGGCGACCTCTTCCCGGTCCTGCTGCCAGGCATGGAGATCCTCGGCCGCCCTCAGAGGCTGCAAGGAGCACTCGGTCCGCCGTTGATCGAACTGGGCTGGGCGTACCTGGCGCTCCCCTGCAAAGAAGGCAAAGAGGGTCTCGCGCGGGCCCGTGCGCGCGTGGCCTAACCTGGCGCCGCGCGCGCTGCGAGACTGAGCTGCGCGACGCCTCCTCGTGGCGCGTCGTCCATTGGTCTGTCGTGGCTCCGTCACCAGAGGTCCAGCAATGGCTCCCAGAGAACTGGCCGCGCTCGCGCATGCGACGAGGCTCGGGCCGATAAGGCAGCCACCCCCTATCTTCTGGGGGCCGCCCTCCGAGCAAACCAGGACACTTGCCTCGGGCTGAGGGCCCGCAAGCCTAAGGCCCCACCATCCTCCGATGCCAACCGCCTAGCGTTTGGACAGGCCACTCCGGAGCCTCGACGGTTTCGGGGGGCGCGCGGGCGAGGGGGCGGGCCGCGGCCCAGGGCAACATGTTCCTTAGACGCTCGTCCAGGACCGCTTCGAAGACACGCGCTGCGCGATGCCCAGGCGGCGTCTTGCTTGCCTCCCAGATGGCCCAGGACTAAAACAGAAGAGCTCCCCTACGGCAGGGCCCCAGGGGATCCATGGACTGACCGGCCACGGTAATGCAAATGCGGAGCACAGGGGAAGCCGTGCCCGTAGACCTGTGAGAGGACCCCATAGTGCCCAGACGGGGCCTGTGAAGTTGTCTCCCACTAAGTCCTCCTGCTACCGCTCCCCAAGACGCTGTAGCTTGGGGCCCCGCGCGCTGCGCACGATGAACACATTTTTTTTGGCCTCGCAGCAGGCAGGGCCTCCAGCTCCTCCGCGCTCCTTCCCCGGGGCGGGCAGCCTGGGGGGTCGTCCCACGCCTAACGACAGCTGAAATGGTGGATCCTGAGCTTTCGGTGGCTTGGAGCCCAGACTGTTCCGGGACACTCGGAGGAATCTCTAAGGGCCTTGATTGGGGCTAATTACTTACAGTAGTCTTCGAGTCCCCCAGGACCTGCTCAAGCCGGTTGTACCCCCTGGCAGATTTGACCCCCGCTTGACGTAGCTCTGCGGTGATCATGTCTTTGGTGCCTCAGCGTTGCGCGCGTGCATCATCAACATCGTTCCTGATCATCCGGCTGGGGCCTTGGCTCACCGGGTCACGGAGTAGTCGGGGCGACGCGACCGTCGCAAACGACGTGGCCGACGACCCTCCTGCCAGGTGCGGTGCCAACAGCCCGAAACATCTCGCTGGCCTTGTCGTGGAACCGCAAAACTCTGGGCCCCGAGTGGAGCCGGCGCGCTGCGAGGGCGACCCGCTTCTCGAGATCTGTCGCAATTGCCTCCTGCATGAGGGCCCCTGGTGGCGCGCTCGAAACCGTTCATTGCCACCAGGAGTGCGCGCGCCTCATGTTCCCGCCCCGATCTGTCGCATGTGGTACCAGCCAGGTCATGCGTCCTCTGCCGCGCTCTCATCATGTCCTGGCGCAGGCGAGCCCAGGCCTCGCAAAGAGAGGCAATGAAAGCAGGTGGTTTGAGAGCTAGTCCTTCACTGGTCCTTCAACATTGACAGCGAAGACGATCGCCGCGCGTCAGAGGTCAGGCGCTTCGACCGCCAGCGCGCCATGCCAGTCTAGCCGCAAATCCATCGGGGAGAAGCGGCCAGCATCGCGGGTTGATTCCCTCAGCTCCCAAACCAACCTCGCGTCGGACTTTCTCTAGGGGCCACTTCAGCCCGCCGGCGTTTTTTTTTTTGGGGGGGGGGCGAATCGCTGCCAGCCGGGCGTTCCTGGGCCCGGGTCATGGCGGATGTGGTGTCTGCCCGATGCCTAGTCCAACCAGCTCTATGATTAAATCGGACTGCGTCATCCCCTTGCAGAGGCAGGCCGCCCTTGGCGAGGGGCGGGGTCAGCGGCGCTGCCTCTTCGACATGCCAAAGGGCGGCCGCGCCGCCGCCAGAAACTGCGTCGCGGGGCCATGCTCGCCAGCGTTGCCGGCGAAGCTGCGATTGCGCATGCGAAACTTGTTCAGAAATTTTGCCGACGCCTGCGATGGCGTCGCCGGGTAACGCGCGGCGCCGCCCAGCGGCGAGGGCGCGCCCCCTCTGCAACCAGGTCGGGCCCGGGGGCGCGGGGGCCCAAGCGCCGGGCGGCCTCCAGGGGCCCTGGGGGGGGGGGGGGGGGGGGGGCGAAGCCGAAGGCCGAGCTCTCATGATACCTCCGCAGCCCTCGGCGGGAGAACTGGCAAGCTCCTCCGAAATCCCTAGCAGCCGGAGAAATGACTTCCTCCCAGCGCCCCGGGGTAACGCTTGCAGTTTGACTCGCCGCCTGTTGACGCCTCCAGCCCGTCCGCGCAAAAGGGTCAGTAGCTCCATCGCACAAGTCAAACCGATGGCGGAGCTCGCCCTCCATCCTGGTGAGCCACTCCTTCCACGCGCCTTTCAAGGAGTCCCAACGCTGTCAATTTCGCCCACCTGCCAGGGCCAGTTGTGCCCTAGAGGAGCTCTCATGCACCCGGCGGCAGGGTTCGCCAGCGAAGCTTCCGGGAAACGCGCGCGCGGCGGGGGCCCACATAAAGAATCCAACTGGCGTGGCGTCAGCTGCGCGGGGGTGCGCGGTCCGCGCGGCGCAGCGCGTGGAGACGCCGCGCTCTCGATGCAGCTGGCCATGCCATGGGCAACAGTGAAGCAGCCCGGGCAGCGCACCTGGCCTACTCCGCCCGAAAAGGTGGCAGCCTCAGGTGCTGCGATGGGCGCGTTGAGCATCTGGGCCCACTTGCGCGTTGCGCTGCGCGCTGAGATCCCCTGCCGGCATCCGCGGGGCCTTGCAACCCCACATATGAAGCCCCAGGTCCTCCGAGAGCTCCAAACTTCCCCCATTCGCAGCCCCGGCCGCCGCGGCCGTGGAACGCGATCCACAAGGGCCCCGAAGCGGCAGGGGCATCTACCCGAGCGGCGGCCACTCCCCCATGACCCGACTTACGGATACCCAATCATTCCACGGCATGCCAGGGGCCCCGAGGTGAGATGCCGCCCCGCTCACAACTCAAACAGCGGTGGCCAGCTTGTGGTCGCTCAACCAAACGGCGGTCTCAAAGGCGCCAGAGGGTGCTCCCAGGGCCCCCCACCTGGCGGCAGCGCGCTTCCTGGATGCCTTCAGCCTGGTATTCTGGGCACTCCAAGCGTAGCGCATCTCGGGCCCCTGGCTCAGCTGCCATTCCAGAAAGTCCCGGCGCTGGGGCTAACCATCATGAGCCGCCCGGTCGAGATCTGATCTCCTCGGGGGCTGCGAGCGCCCCCCTTGCGCCTGGGCGCGCCGCCGTCAGCGGGCGCCGGGCAAGTCGACGAGGCGCGGGGGTCGAGGTCGAACTTGGCGTAGATGTCGAAGGCGGACATGGCGAGGTGGGGGCGCGCAGGAACTGCCGCTGCGCAGCCGTCTGTCCTGCTAGAAAATCTGGAACAGCAAGCCGCGCGCGTTGGGGGCCCCCCCAAGCAATGCGCGAAACGGATATGCGAACCCGCGCCGCGCCAGCTCGGCGCAGCTGTCTCTCGCCAATCCTTGCTGGCCGTGTCCGAGTCCATCAGCTGGGGGGCGGCCGCGAGCATCGCGAGCTTGGCGAAGCTGTCTTGGCGGGCGCATTCGAGCGCTCGCGCGCGGGGGGGGTCCGCGCCGGCGGGGTAGAGAGACCTGCGCGTTCAGAATGAGACAAATGGGCGGGGCACATTTATTTGCCAGCGTTGCGCCGAAGGCCCCGACGTCGCCCATGCCATTCGCGGGGCCGCGCGGGCGCGGCCCGATGGGGGGGGGCCGGAGACGCGGGCGCAGCGCTGCGCCTAGCCCTCGGAGCAGTCGCCGCTGCCCCTGCCGGACCCGCGCTCCTTCCCATGGAAATATCCCGAGGAAGCAATTAACCCCCCCCCCCCCCTTCCGGCGAAACGGCATCCCCCGGCACCTGGAAGCGTTATTCTGGCACCTGAAGCTAGGAGGAGGAGGAGGAGGAGACAAATCGCCTGAGACATCCTCGCATTTCTTAATAGAATTGGCCAAATCGCTTGAAACATCTCCACATTTCTTAATAGACTTGGCCAAATCGCCTGAAACATCTTCACAAGTCTTAATAGAATTAGCCAAATCGCCTGAGACATCTTCATATTTCTTAGCAGAATTGGCCAAATCGCCTGAGACATCCTCACATTTCGTATGAGAATTGGCCACATAGCTTGAGACAGCCTCACATTTCTTACGAAAATTCGCCAAATCGCTTGAGACATCCTCACATATTGCCCAAATCGCTTGAGACATCAACGCAGTTCTTAATAGGATTTGCCAAATCGCTTGAGACGTCCTCACATTTCCAAATAGAACTTGCCAGACTGCTTGAGACACCCTCACATTTCTTACGACAATTGGCCCGATGGCCTGAGACGCCCTCGTATGTCTTAGTAAGAGATTGTTAAATCGAGCAGGCTCAGTTCACGAACAAGAGCGCAGAGGAGTGTCAGGCGTACGTCAGCCACCGGAAGATGATCGAGACAGTGCAGGTGTGCTCTAAATGCGAGTGGCGCTCAGGCTGCGTCGCGTGCAGCTATGAGCACGCCCTCAGGCATTGCGTCAGGCACGGGGAACCGCCGTCGTGGTGGAGGATGAGCACGATGAGCGTGCTGAGGGGCATGTGTAGGTGAGCCATCTTGTGCTCTTCAGCAACCATCGACGAGTTCAGATGCTCAGCAGTGGCGGCGACGAGCTCAGATGCTGTCTGCATTGATTTTCTCGCGATCAGGGCTTGAGGCCTCATGAGACAGCTCAGGAGTTCGTGATCGGGATGGTGGGCGGGAAAGGAGGAGGAGGAGGGACAGGAGAGGGGACAAGTCAGGAGAGACAGGAGAGGGGACGAGTCGAGCTCACCCTGTCAGGCCGCTTCAGGCCCCGGAGACTCTCTCAGCGCGTTTTGGCCACTTCAGAGAGTGCGTGCGTTTTGGCCGCTTCAGAAATTGTGTATGATTTCTAGAACCTCCTTCGCTTCCCCTTTGCTTTCTCAAGTGTTCCTCAGTTTTCTTAGCGTTTCAGATGTTGTTTTTTCTTGTCTTTCTCAGTTTCTCTTAGCCTTTCCTTGGTTTCCATGTGTTTTCCTCCTCTTCCCCCTCCTCCTCTTCCTCCTCCTCTTCCTCTCCGGTTCAGATCCTCGCCCTCCTCCTCCTTCTCTTTCTGCCAAGCTCTTAGTCCTTCTCCTCCACCTTCCTCCTGTCTCCCTCCTTCCCCACATGCTTTCAGTGCTCAGGAGAGTTCCTGCGTGTGCTTGTGACAGTTCTGGCAATATCAGGGCAACCTTTCAGTGCTCAGGAGAGTTCCTGCCTGTGCCTGCCGCCCTTTTCAGAGCTCAAGCGTTCCAGCAAGATGATTCCAGCGTTCCAGCGAGATCGCTCGTCCAAAAAAAAATCAGCTTGCAACGGATCGTTGCTAACTCGATTCAGTTGTTTCAGATTCAATTATTCGTCTACAGATTCTCTGCCTCAATCAGCGTTTCTTGCTCGTTGTCGAATCGATTCAGCTGTCGCAGATTCAGTTGCGCCATTCTCGCATGTCTTAATAGAATCGGCCGAATTCCCTGAGACATCCTCGCATTTCATACTAGAATTTGCCAGATCGCTTGGAACATCCTCGTATTTCTTCATCAGATCGGCGAATTCGCCTGAGACATTTGCGCATGTCTTGATCGAATTGGCCAAGTCGCTTGAGACATCCTCGCAGATTCATCTGGAAATGGTGTTGTTCAGACTCTGGGCCGCCCCCAGACTCTGGTGGGTGCTCCCTCCACCTCCTCTTCCTCCTCCTCCTCCTCCCTCCCCTCCTCCTCCTCCTCCTCCTCCTCCTCCTCCTCCTCCTCCTCCTCCCTCCCCTCCTCCTCCTCCTCCTCCTCCTCCTCCTCCTCCTCCTCCTCCTCCTCCTCCTCCTCCTCCTCCCCCTCCTCCTCCTCCTCCTCATCCTCCTCTCCCTCCTCCCTCCCCTCATCCTCCTCTCCCTCCTCCGCTGCCGCCTCCTCCTCCTCCCTCCCCTCATCCTCCTCGCCCTGTCCCCGTTCTCCGCGCGCCCGTCGCGCGGGGCGGCGCAGGGCGAGGCCGCGCCCGCCCTCGACGCCGTGGCCAACGGCGTCCCGGACGTTCAGCGTCGCCTTCGCCGGGGCCACCAGCCTGACGCAGGCGCGGGCGGCCCCCCGCTCGCCCCCCGTGCGGCTCGGCCGCTCGGCCGCTCGTCGTCGTCGTCGCCGCCGCCGGCGTCGTCGTCGTCGTCGTCGTCGTCGTCGTCGTCGTCGACGTCGTTGTCGTCGTCATCGTCGCCGCCGCCGCCGCCGTCGTCGTCGTCGTCGCCGTCGCCGTCTCCGTCGCCGTCGTCGCCGTCGTCGTCGCCGTCGTCGTCGCCGTCGCCGTCGCCATCGTCCGTCGTCCGTCGTCCGTCGTCCGTCGGCCGCCGCCGTCGCCGCCGCCGCCGCCGCTGCCGTCGCCGCCGCCGCCGCCGTCGCCGCCGCCGCAGGCAGCGGCGGCGGCGGGGGGGTGCGAGAGGGTATCCCAGAACTCCGACGTCGTGCGTACTTCAGCGCGGAGGTTTTATCCGGCGCTTTCGGCCTCCGGAGGCCGTTCCTGGGCTTTCGGGCCGCCCAAACTCGGATCGTCGTCGTCGCCGTCGTCGTCGCCGCCGCCGTCGTCGTCATCGTCGTCGTCATCGGCCGGCCCCAGGGAAGTTGCCAGGACCTCCAATGACCACCGGGGACCCCGCATGGACAAAATCACGACATCGGATCTCTGGGGAGAGGCGGCGGCCCCCCGGCTCCGAGGAAGAAGTCCTCGGGGGTTTACGCCGGTTTTTGGAGGTCTCCTCGCCGCGAGGTGCCTTCCAGCGGCCGCGCCTCGCCGAGAGCGCCCCCCGGGGTGCCAGAGCCGTCCCGAGCGGCCGCCCGAGGTCCGAGTTGTGGCCCGAAGACCACTCGGAGGAGGACGGGGGAGGAGGAGGAGGAGGGAGAGGAGGAGGAGGAGGAGGACGGGGGAGGAGGAGGAGGAGGGGGAGGAGGAGGAGGAGGAGGAGGACGGGGGAGGAGGAGGAGGCGGAGGAGGAGGAGGAGGCGGAGGAGGAGGAGGGGGAGGAGGGGGAGGAGGAGGAGGAAGAGGAGGAGGATGAGGAGGAGGAGGAGGAGGAGGAGGAGGACCGAGGACGTATCAACGACGCTGAAATACACCCTCCCCGTCTCATGTCCAGGGAACCCCGTTTTGCAAAGGATCCGCCCTCCATCCGTGTAACTGTTGCGCAAGTTCTGGTCATAAGGACCTCGGGAAGTCTAAAGCGAGAGCCAGATTTTTAAGAGGGCGAGAGCCAGATTTTGAAGAGGAAACGCCCTCCACCCGTGCGGTTGTCGAACTAGTGTACGCTTCTGGTCGGAGAAGATGAGGAAGTCTCAGGCGAGAGCAGCATCGTGAAAAGAAACCGCCCAAGAGGGCCCCGAAACAGCCCAAGAGGCCCGCAATACGGCCCCAAGAGGGCCCCAAGACGGCCCAAGGAGACTTCCACGACGGCCCTGAAACGCCCCAAGAGGGCTCCAAGTCGGCCCAGAGAGACCCCAGGACAGCTTCCGATGGCGTCAGACGGGCCAGGAACGCCCCAAGACGGCCAAAGAGGCCCCCCAAGAAGCCCCCACAGGCACCCAAGAGGCCTCCGAGAAACCCCCAGGAAGCTTCGAGAAGGTCCCAAGAGTGTCCCAAGAGGCTCCCGGGAGGCCTCCTCTCCCTCCGAGGCTTCCTTCTCCTCTCTCCCATCCTCCTCTCCATCATCCTCCCTCCAGCGTGCCCCCAAGAATTTCAACAACGACTCGGGCAACATATCCGCCGATCCGGCGTGTGAGTATAGCCTGAGCATCAGTTCCTGGGTTTCAGCTCTGCTGGGGGGTGGGTGCCGGGGTGACCCTGCCGGGGTAAGGGGGGGGGCAGTTCCCCTTTTCCGAGGGGGGGCTCTTTCGGGCCCAGGAGGGCCCCCGCGCGGGCCAAGAGGACCCCAATAGGCCTCCAAGACGGCCCAAGAGGGCTCCGAGTCGTCGAACGATCGGTCCAAGACGCCCAAAATGGCCCCCAGACGGCCCAAGAAGCTTCCAAGACGCCCCAAAAAGCTTCCAAGATGGCCCCCAAGAGGGCCCCCAGAGGCAAAAACTCGTTTCATTCCGTGGGGGGGGACGTACATTTTCAGTATATTCGCCTCTTCGGCTTTCACAGCGTCGAAGACGGCCCAAGAGACCCTCAAGATCGCCCCAAGACGGACCAAGAGGCCTACAAGAGGGCTCCAAGACGGCCAAAGAAAGCCCAAAACGGCCCAAAAGACCCCAAAGACGGCCCAAGAGGGCCCCAGGACGGGCCCGAGAGGGGACCCAGAGGGGGAACAACTGACATTTCGGGCCTTCGACCCAAAGATGCCCCCAGGAGGCTTCAAGAAACCTCCAAGAAGCCCCCAAGAGGCCCCAAGAGTCGCCACTGGCATCCGGAGCGCCCCGGATCGGCGGCACTGGCCGAAGGCCACTACAATGGTTCAATATCTTGGCCAAACTTGGGACAACGTTTGGCCACATAGACGTTTCCAAAAGGCATGCGGCGGCGATGGTTCGTCGCAGGCGTCTTAGATGGACAACGAGCCCGAGACACCGAGGAACCCTCTGAGGAACGCAGGGCATGCCGATAGGAAAAGAAAAAACAAAGAACCGAGGACTCCCAAGGAACCCAGGGAACGCTTATAGCAAACCAGGACACGGCAACGAGGAATGCAGAAGTGCCTGGGGAACGCCCACAGGAAGAAACCATGGAACGCCGAGGAATACAGGCAACGCTAACTGGAAACCAAGCGGAACGCCGAAAACAAAACGGCAACACCTACATGAACGCAGGCCCAACGAATCGGGCAACACCGGGCGCCGCCTCTCGCGAAGGGCCGCGGGCCCAGCGGTCCTTCACAAACGCGTAAGATCCCCTTAGGCAAGCCTACTTGGGGAAAAAATGGCACCCGACCAAATGTCATTTTGTCGGATGGCGTTTTTGTCAGATGAACTGTTCCACCGCTTTGAAACGACCTGCATCGAGGAATGCGTGATCAGACCCGGCATGGCTGCAACGCGACTGGCGACAACGATAATTGCAGCCAGCAAGGAAGTACGCCACAGGACGTCGCACAAAGGAGCGAACAGATTGCACAAAGCAGAGCGCGCAACGACGACGCCGACGAGGACCAAAACAAGGGACAGGAGTAGGAGGAGGAGGGAGTTGATAGGACGAGGGCCAGCGGCAGCAGCACCACTGTCATCTGCCACCGCCCCTCGACATGTTGGTTCGGATTCTTTGGTTTCCACGCCAACGAGCGCCTAGCCTAGCCGGCGCAGCCGCAATCATACGCCGCGGCACAATGACAGGCCAGCAAAATACTCCTTTGAAGGATCTCCAAGCACTTTCAAACTTCGTGCAATTCCTCGTCGCCCTTACCGCCGGCATGCAGACCCGCACTAACGAGAAGAAGCCGAAGGCGCCTGGGAGTTAACAAATCGGCGCCCTCTGACTGCGACGCGCGTGCGGCGCGCGGGACAGCTAAGAGCTATATATACCCTCCTTCCTGAGTGTTTGTTTTGGTTCTTGGGTCCTAGGGTAAATTGTGGGGATTCGAAAACTTGGGGGTCGTAGCGCGATGCTATTCGGGGAATGTTTTGGGCGTTGTTGAATTAAACGCGACCCCAGGTCGTCAAGTTCCTGCGGAAGTCGAAATCTGGAGCGAAAGCGGTCCAGCAGCCCATGACGTTAGAGGCCCAGAGCGCCATGTGCGATGCGTGGTGCAGGATGATGTTGGGGTCGCACACGGTTGTCGCCACTGTGAACAGCAACGAGTCCGGCGTTGCATTGCACAGGCCGGCCTTGCAGAGCGCATTGGAACAATGCGTGCAGCATGGCGCCGCCCTGGTTGTGGCGACCGTGGACCGGCTCGCCAGGAACATCGCCAGATTTGCTGCAGTTATGCTGGCCCGGATCCCCGTGTTCGTCGCTGAGTTCAACATCAAGGGTGTCATGGACGGAACGTTGATGGAACGCTCATCGGTGTACCGGGCGGCCCTGGAGGCGCACTTGGAAGGCTTGCGCATCCAGTACAGGATCCAGACAATCATGCCAATTGTGAAGAGGAAAAAGAAGAAGATGGGCGGTCGCGCCCACAATAAAGGCCCGGAGCGGAGGAAACAGAACGCCATGGCCGAGGCCCGCGCGGTAAAACCGCACATGAAAGAATACATGGCGACCGACGCAGCATGGACGGCCCCGCGGATGGCCACATGGCTCGGGGAGAAAGGCATCCGGACGGCAAACGGCAAGAAGTTCACGGCCAGGATTGTGAAGGGTCATCTGCAGAGGCTCGGGCTGTGGGCGTGACTGAGGACGGGCCCTGCGCGGCTGAGACAAAAAAAAAATGGCGCCGGCGGCAAGAGGCTTCCCAATATGGCCCCAAAAGGCAACAATAATTGATTCCCGCATGGTTTTTGCACGTTTTGGGCCTTCTCACCTTTTCAACTTTCCGACGCTCCCAGACGGCCCAAGAGGCCCCCAGGATCGCCCCATGACGGCCCAAAAGACCCCCAAGACGGCCCCGGGACGGCCCGAGAGGGCCCCAAGACGGTCCGAAGAGGGGCCCAAGAGGGGGACCACGAACCGAAAAGTCGAGCCTTCCGCCCCGAGAACGCCCCAGGAGGGCCCAAGAGAGCCCCAAGAAGCCCCCCAGAAGCTCCCAAAAGACACCCTAGAGGCCCCAAGAACCCCCCTAAGAGCCCCAAAGGAGGCCCCAAGAGGCCCCAAAACGTCTCCCAAGAGGCTTCAAAACTTGCTCCAAGAAGCCCCCGAGAGGCCTTCCACGAGATCCCAACGAACACTCAAGAAGCCTCTGAGCCACCACCCAAGCACGGTGGCGGGATGAGCCGAAGGCCAGTTCCACGATCGTCGCACGCTCTAACTCCTTCTGGGGGTCGGCGGAATGGCGTAAGCCACTTGAATATTTTGTTTTTACCATCTCAGACGGCTGCGCCGCAGTGTGAAGTGCGAGACGGAGAGGCGAATGGCCGACAACGGCTCGCACGCGACGCGTCCGCGTGCACAGCGTTCCAAGGCGGCGTGACACGAAGCGGCATGAAAAACTAAACGGAAGGAGGAGGAGGAGGAGGAGGAGGAGGAGGAGGAGGAGGAGGAGGAGGGGAAGAGGGCGGACACGCCACCGAACACGCCACATGCGAGACAAACGGCCGTGGAGGCATTAGGCTGCACCCCAGAAACAACCCACTCTGGAGCGTGAGCGGCAGCCGGGAAAAAAGAGTTCAAGCCCAGAACACGAGGGACAGTGGGAGCTCAGCCCGCGCACGTTGTGGATTTCCCGACAACTCGAAGCGCAGGGGCGACAGCACCACGATGGGGTGCGCTGGCCCTCTTTCAATGCTCGCAGACCCCTTCCAACGAGGACGCGACGATGATGATTTATTCCTCGAGACCCCCACCCAAGACGACAGTGCCCGCTGAAACGAGACAGAGGTCAAGATGGCAACGCCTTGGCCGCCGCGGCAGCGGCCGAATCGTGTTCCCGCTGCAGCGCTGGCCTCATTTACACTTACTCAATACAAGTACTACCCTCCTCTCTCCCCTGATGACGGGGTTTCCGTATTCGCCCCCCCCCCCCCCCCCCCCGCGTCCTGTCTTTTTACACGCAGGATTGGTGCGAACTGGGTTTCCAGGCCCCCGCTCGTTCCGAATCGTGTTCCCCGCCTCTCCCGACCGCCTGCTCGGCGAGGCGCGCGCGTCTTCGGCCCCGCCCCGCGGGGCGATCGCCGCGGCCGCCGCGCCGTCGTCGTCGTCGTCGTCGTCGTCGTCGTCGTCGTCGAGGTCCGACATGCGAGTAAGGACTGACAGACTGACTGTGCGAATAAGGGGAGATCTACGTCATGGTAAGGGATGGGGGGGGGGGGTAGGACGTCAGATATGAGCGCGCGCGCACCTAGCTTGACCGCCCCTCCCCCCCCCCCCCCCCGCACGCCATCTATATCGCTATACCCCGCCCTGTCCTCCACCTGTCACCGAGGCCGCCCATCTGCGCTGGGTGAATTCGAGGCCCCCATCATCTCAGCCCCATACTGCCGCTGCCTTTCCAAGAACTTAACGCTGGGCGCCGAACGCGTTCGGAAAGTGGCTCCGCATGACGGACAAAGCAAACTGCATCGGGTAGTCCTGCGATTGCTTCATCTCCCGCTTGTTTCCGTTGACCGCCTTCTTCCCGTTCGGGCGGGTGGCTGTCGTGTAGAGCGGCAGCTTCGCAGCCTCGGCCTTTTTCACGGCCGCTTTTGCAGTATTGACCTTCTTTGTGGGCGCCGACGACTTAGCTGTTTTGCTTTTTGCCTTCGACTTCGCCTTGGAGTGGGCCTTGGGCTTCGCCGCGGGCTCTGGGCAACTGAGCGCAACGCCTGGCATGAGCTCGGCGAACTTCGCCCCAACCATCTTGAGGTCTTCCAAAAGCGCCCCGACGCCCACGAGCAACGTGGGCTTCATGGAAGCGTGGCCGTAGTCGCCGAGGTTGATCGACAGCGGGAGGACGCTCGGGATCTCCACGAGGAGAGTCTGCATGTTAGGGGTCTCGAAGAACGTGGGCGATCTCGGCTGCTCGATGACCCAGCTGACGCCGAGGTTATTCGCGATGTAGCAGAGAAGCGCCATCCTGGCGTTAACCTCATTCCCTTCCTGAACAGGCTTACAAGCTTCATTGCCCATGATGTTACCTCTTCTACGCTTCGTCACGCTGCGGGACACCCACACCCAACTCGAACACTGGGGCCCAGCGAACATCAATCCAGGAGGTTTGATGCGCAACAGCGCGACGATCACAATGGCAAGGCCTGTGGTGGTGAGGATGTCCATATGATCGACGCACGTTCTGTCAATCGGCAGCACGTTGAGGCCTCCGAGCGTGCCCCACTTGGTGATCCGCGCCCGGCCCGCGAACAAGTCGACGGCGTCGACGTTGCGCATCACCGTCAGTTTGGCGACGTCGCACCCTAGGGCTTGGCGGACTGCCGTTGGTATGAGGGCCACGATCTTTGCTGGAACCTCCCATGGCTCCCCTGGGAACTTCGCCGGGAAGAAGTTCCAGGTCCTGACGTTCTCTAGCGTTACGCTCGAAACACGAGCGGCGAGGTAGGAGCGTTCGAAATCAGGGAACGTCGCCGTCGGGGCCCCGCCGGCCACGAGAAAGGGCACAACGAGGACGCCGAAGGACAAGAAGGGCGCCAACTTCATGGCGGCCGGCAACCAATCAAAGATAAACGGTAAACCGCGATGCCCCACTTGAGCCCAATGGCTGTGGGCGGGGTGGGGGGGGCGACGGAGGAGGAGGAAGGGGGGGAGAGACGAGGGCGGGGATGGGGTTGCCCTCCGCCCAATGAGGCAGGCCGCCGAACCACCAAGGGGCGAAATCCATGCAACCAAAACCCGACACCACATGGCAAATACATGTAGCGAGCTGTGTGACGGCAGCCCGGACGAACCCCATACACCCCCATTCTTCATCCCCCCGCCCTCCTCCTCCCCCTCCCCCCGCCTCCCCCCCCTCCTCCTTCTCCCCGTTTCCCCCGAATTCTCCCTCGTCCTCCTCCCCCTCCTCCTCCTCCCCCCCCTCCTCCTCTTCCTCATTATCATCATCATCATCATCCCCTCCTCCTCCCCCTCCTCCTCCTCCTCCTCCTCCTTCCTCGTAGTCATCATCACCGTCATCCTCATCATCGCAATCATCATCATCATCATCATCATCATCATCATCGCCATCGTCATCGTCATCATCATCATCGCCATCATCACCACCACCATCATCGCCACGATCATCATCATCATCATCATCATCATCATCATCATCATCATCCGCTCCTAGATCCGCTCAAGGATCGGCCACCCCCGGACGACCCCCAGAAATTCGGAGGTGTTTTTGTTTCTGACAACGCCTCCAAATTCCAAGCGGGCCCCAGATTCGCCCCAGACCATCATCATCATCATCATCACCATCATCATCATCATCATTGTCATCATCATCACCATATCATCATCACCACCACCACCATCATCACCATCTTCATCATCACCACCATCATCATCATCATCCGCTCCACGATCTGGCCCAGGATCCGCCCCAGGAATGCCCCCCCCCGGACGACCCTCAGGAATTCGGAGGTGTGTTTTTTCTTTTCCCAAAAAACACCTCCGAATTCCAAGAAGGCCCCAGGATCCACCCCCATGATCCGCCCCAGGCCAGGATCATCATCGTCATCGCCATCGTCATCATCGTAGGCATCAGTCAACATCATCGTCATCATCATCGTCGCCGTCGAAATCATCATCATCGCCGTCGTCGTCATCATCAGAACCATAATAGTCATCATCATTGTCATCATCATCATCATCATCATCATCATCATCATCATCATCATCATCATCATCCTCATCGTTACTATTTCCATCCTCCTCCACCTCCTCATCATCACCCGCTCCAGGATCCGCTCCACGATCGCCCCCCCCCCGCCCCCGGACGACCCCGAGGAATTCGGAGGCGTTTTCCAGAAAACCCTTCCGAATGCCAAGATGGCTCCAGGGTCCGCACCAGGATCCGCCCCAGGCCAGGACCATCAACATCATCATCATCATCATCATCATCATCATCATCATCACCATCATCATCATCATCATCGTCATCACCGGCATCGGCATCGTCATCATCATCATTATTACCATCAGGATCATCATTATCATAATCATCCTCATTTCCATCACCATCACCATCACCATCGCCATCATCATTTTCAACATCAACATCATGATAATGGCCTGCCCGGGAGGGGGGGGGGACAACGCAAAATATTATTCACCCCGCCGACCCCCCCCCCCCCAGCCAGAAGCCCCCCCGGGCCTCGCGAGCACCCCTGTAGCCTCAGAGGGCCACGTGAAATGTGAAGCAAGAACCTGCGTTGCTGCGTCCGCTCATCTTTCATGTTTTTCACCTTCTCCCCCTCCTCCTCCTCATCCTCCTCCTCTTTCTCAACATGTTCCTATGTTTCCTCCTTCCCCTTTTTTCATAATTTTCCTCCTCCCCCCCCTCCTCCTCCTCCTCCCCCTCATCATCATCGTCATCACCATTCGCGTCTTCTTGCTCCACATATCCGTCTCTCTCCTGGCCCTTGTCCTCGCCATCCCCCGCTCGCCGTCAGGATGGGCGCCGCGGCCCCGAGCCTGCGACGATGATGGCCCGTCCTCGTCGCCGAGGGAGGCCGCCTGCCCCGGGCTCGCGGGGGCGGGGGGCGGGGGGGGGGGCATGCGAAGGAGGAGGGGGCGGGGGCGAAGGAGCAGAAGGAGGACGGCTGGATCGGGATCGTCGGCGGCGCTGGTCAAACCGACCAAACACAGGAGAGGACGTCTTGTTTTGAATAATAAAACGTGAATGACCAACCTCGCCCTGGACCCACGACGTGCCCGGACCGATTTTGTCCTCGCATGTGCTTTCAAGGGCCACCAAAGCAGCTGAGACGATACAGCTGCCAAGGTGGCAACACCGCGGTCGGCCCCCGCTGGCGATCAAAGTGTCGACAGTCACTGGTTATCCTGAAATGTCACGGCGGCGCTGCGACAAAATGTCGCGCAATGCGTCGCTGGAACATTGGCGCCCCGCGCTGGAATGTCCCAGCGGGCCCCTTGGGTCTCTTTGCCGGCGTAGCGCCGGAACCCTCTGGCGGGCTGACTACGGTCCCAATATACTGCCATCCGCCCACCTGGGCCCACCCTTCCCTATCCCAGTTCCCGCCGTCGTCACCGGGCGATTTTGCTCGGGGATGTTGCGGCGCCCCTCTCACTACTTCCCATCAAACTTCTTGAGAAGGGACGCCAAATCGCCCACGGGCGCAGCAACTTCGGGCTTGCTCCCTGAGGCCGGCGTGCTGCCCACTGCTGGAGAAGCATTTGAGGCCGGCGTGCTGCCCGCGCCCTCTGGTTTCTTGCCCTGCGGCGTCGTGTCTGCGCCCTCGGCTTTCTTACCTGGCGCCTCATCCTTCTTCGCCGCTGCCCTCTTTGCCGCTGTCTTTGCTCTCTTCGCCACTGGCTCTCCGTCTGCCGTGGCCTGTAGCTGGGTCTCCCAGCCCGCCGCAGCGGCCGCGCGCTTCTTGGCGGCGGCAGCGTCCTCTGCGATCTTCCCCGACTTCTCTTCCCAGCGGCGAAGCTTTGCGGGCATGGCGTCCTTCAGGCGCTTCTCGCCCTCCGCCCCCAGGAACCGCTGCGTGCCAGCCTCTATGTGGTCTTTAACGAAAGCCATCAAGATGTTCATGATCGTGTTCATGTGGTCCTGCGGGGCACGCGCGACGGAGGCGCGCGCTTCTATGGTCAGCGGCCCGCTGCGGCGGCAATCGGGCGGCCCTGCCCCGCCTGCGGCCGAACTGCCAGGCAGGGCGGGTAGCGACGGACGGGGGGGTAGAACGGGAGGGGCGGGCGGGGGGGGCGCGGAAGCAGAGAGGGAAGGGCTAGGGGAGGGGTGGGGCAAGTGGACGGGCGAGATGCTTGATCCCGCGATCCTTGTTCAGCGCCACGAACAGGGCCTTCGCGCCCATGAGCAGCGCGGTCTTGATCATCATGGCTGCGCCGGGCGAGAAATCGATGAGGACGCCAGCGTCGCTGGCCCGCAAGAACTCGGCGCAGAGGTTCGGGTGCAACTCCATGTAGAAGAGCACCACGTTGTCCTTGCCGTCGATCTCCTCGCCATCCGCGATCTCCGCATCATCGCCTTCCTCCGCGTCGTCGCCTTCCTCCGCCTCGTTGGGCTCGTGAAGCCCGGCCTCCGTCTTCCTGCCGGCGTACTTGCCGTCGGCTTGGACTCCCCGGAAGATCTTCTCCCTCTCATGCGGCGGCACTTTGGTCATGTTCGCAAGCTCGAGCATAGGGATGGGGCGCGTCGTGCTGAAGGCAGTGTTGCCCTTCACGAAACGGCGGTCCTCGCCCTTGGCCGTCCTCTTCTTCTTGCGGGCCTGCAGGTAACTCTCGCGGAGGTCGACGGAGCCGGCCGGGGACCTGGAGGCGCGCAGCTTTTTCATGGCATCAGCGTCGTCTGGCTCCATGTGCAGCTCGTTCAGGAACAGTTTCGGCTTGTAGCTGAGCAGCTCTTTCATCATGCTCTCGAGGATGAACCTGTTCCTGCCGCTCAGCATGATGATCGCGTCGTCGTCGCCAGCAGCCTCGCACGCGGTCGACATTGCCAACTTCATGTGTGCATCATCGACGCCCGCTTTCATCCTGTAGGGGCTGCTGTACTTAGGGGGGTCCTTCGTAGCGTCGAGCCCAGAGTTCCACCAGAAGAGCTTGGTGACGCCGTCGCGCATGAAGCCAGGGGCTTTGACCTTATCTGGCAACTGGGGTTCCCCGTAGTGGTGCTTGACGACGTTTCTCCTGAGGAACTCTTCGGCGAGCTTGCCCGTCTCCTCCTTGAGCTGCGCCTTGCGCTGCTGACGGAGGTGCTCCAGCTCGTCTTCGGACAGGGGCGCCTCGTCCACGACTTCGGCGCCCTCGGGGTCGTCGGGCCCATGGCCGCCGCTCCCGCCCCCCACCTTGCCCGTGAGCGCCGGTCGCTCCGCGGCGTAGGCCGCATCGACATCGGCGAGGAGTTCCTTGATGAAGCCGACCTGCCCGAGGAGTGCCAGAAGAGTGCGACTTACGCCCTGTCCCCCTCTGCCCTAAACAAATCAAGATGGCCCCAGATGACCCCCTGCCCAGCGAGGGCCCATGGAGGCCAAGAAGCCCTCGGCGGGGAGGCGGGGAAGTGCATATATGATTCCCTCTGGCCCCCTCCCCCGCGAAGGACCCCTGGGGGCCCGGCAGCCTTGGAAAGCCCGCGTAGGTGGTCAGTAAAAACCCGGGTGCGCCATGGCGCGTTATCAGTGGGGCACGAGGAATAGAATAGATACGTCACCAGCCCCCGGGAATGGCCACGGGGGCCCAGGAGACCTTGGCAAGCCCCTCCCCCGTCCAACCAGTGCTAAGGGGGTGCCCCCGGAAGCTCGCGGCCAGTTCTGCAAGCGAACCTGCAGCGGCGACGTCGCGCTGCTCAGGACCATCAAATTCTGGTACCGCTTGCCATCGAAAACGGGCCAGAAGATCTCCTGGACGATCTTCTCGACCGACTCCTGCGCGTGGATGGGCAGCTCCGCGATCTCGTCCACCGCCGTCCCGTCCAGCTTGCGGCCGACAGGGTGGGCCGCATGGAATGCCTTGAACGTCTTGAACGCCGAGAGCAAGGATTCGCATGCCGGGAACCGCGCGAAAATGGCCGCTGGGATCTTGTTCATGCAGGCCAGCGCGCGGGCGTGTTCAGCCACGTACCTGCCCCCCCGGAGCGAATGCCCGCGGAGGAGAGCGATGTGCAAGTTTTCAGCAGCGTCGCGCAGGAAATTGGGATCGGGCAGCGCGGCACAGAACGCGTCCAAATATTTCGGTGACTCCTGGATGGAAACAGCCGGATTCCGTCTCCCGAAGATCTCCTCGTTGCGCTCGAACCACCACAATGCGCTCTCCATGTGAGCGGGTCTGCCCGGGTCCGCCACGGCCATGCTCAACCTACGCAGAACGCGCAAGTGCAAGCGGATGTTCTTGACGCCCATCGTGGTCTCCGAGTTGGCCCATTTGATGGTGCGGAGCATGTCCGCCACTTCCTGCAGGCATGTAAGCAGGGGGCAAATAAAAAGGTCAGCGGGTTGGTAGACGTGGGAGGGCGATTACAGAGGCGAGGCGGGCAGGTGGGTAGGTGGGCCGGAAGGGCGGCGAGAGCAATCCTGGGCATTACCACTGCCGGTGGCCTTGGCGCGCTCCATCAGCTGGACAAGTTCCCGGCCACGCTGCAAGACACTGTGCCCGATGTCTTCCGCGGCCTTCTCGTCGTTCTCGTTCAGCTGGTAGGCCACGACGAGCTTGCGGTCCGCCTGCGCGTCGGTGCTGTCGCCGCGCAGCAACGCGAAATGCATGTGGACGTTGTTGAAGACCCTGCGCCAGCTCTCAACGGCCGGGGCAGTCAAAATGTCGGTGACACCTGCTGCATTAGCTGCGTCCCGAAACGCAGATATCCAAGCGAACAAGTACCGGTCGAGGTTGAGCCTCTGGAAGGTACCCATGTCCGACTCCTCGAGCGGTGCCCGATACATGGCCATCTCCATGATCACCCCGGGGGGCGGGAATGGAGGCGCTTCCCCGTTGTCCGTGGTCTGCATGAAGAACTCCTTCGTACGAGCCACAGCCCCCTGCAATGGCCACACGCCAGGTATTGCAGTTGCCTCAAAGTTAATGAACGACATGGGGACTTCGGCTGTGAAGTCGCTGCGGTCGTGCTTCTTACTCTTACTGATCAGCATGTTCACCTTGATCTTCATATCGGGGCCGAGCGGCTGATGAAAATTGACCTTCATGGGCTTGATGAAATCGAGAAGCTCGTTGACCCATTCAGGGCGCTCCCTGCAATAAGCGGGGGCGCTCTCGTCCGCCATGGGCAAGCACGCGCAGGCCGGCAACGAGTCGCAGATAAATGCGCGACCGAAGTGCCCCACTTGAACCTGCATTGCCATGGAAGGAGGAAAAGGAGGGGGAGTTGAGCAGAAAGGGAAGGGCGAGACGGAGGAGGATAACGAGGAGGAGAAGGAGGAGACAGAAGGGTGGGGAATGGGGGTGCTATTTCTCTTGCCGCCCCCTCCTCCCTGAAGGGGCTGGGCCCCGAAGCATCGGGGGCAAAGCCCATGAAGGCTGTCCGCTGTGTGCAGCCAACCGGGGTCCCTATCTGGACCCTGGGACCATACGGGAAACATCCGAAATGCCAAACCGTCCCTGGTCTCGGCATCGCTCGGACGTGTGCATTTTTCGTCGTCGCCGTCGTCGTCGAAGACGTCGTCGTCGTCGTCGTCGTCGTCGTCGTCGTCGTCGTCGTCATCGACGTCGTTGTCATCGTTGTCAGCGTCGTCGTCGTGGTCGTCGTCGTGGTCGTCGTCGCGGTCGTCGTCGTCGTCGTCGCCGCCTCCGAGGTCGTCGTCGGCGGTCGATGTCCAGCGCCGTCGCACGACGACGACGACGACGACGACGAAAAATGCACACGTCCGAGCGATGCCGAGACCCTCCTCCCGGGGCCCGGGGACGGCATCCACGGGCCGAAAACGGCGAAAAGACTTCTCGAACCTCGAAGTTCGATCGTTGATCGTCGGACGACGACGACGACGACGAAAAATGCACACGTCCGAGCGATGCCGAGATCCTCCTCCCCCAGAGGACGGGCCGAGGCCAGAGCACCCGGATCGATTTTTGACGGTCCCGGGGCCCGCGGACACCATCCAGGGGCCGAAAACGGCGAGAAACGTCCCCGAACCTTGAAGCTCGATAGTCGATCGTCGAGCGACGGCGACGACGACGACGACGACACCGACGCCGACGCCGACGACGACGAAAAATGCACTTGTCCGAGCGATGCCGAGATCGTCCTCCCCCCAGGACGACCGACATCGATTCAAAATCGGTCCCCGGACCCCTCCCGAGGTCTATCCGACGTAGTTTTTTCACCCCGGATCGAATTTTGACGCTCCCGGGGCCCGCGGACGGCATCCAGGGGCCGAACCTCGAAGTTCGATCGTCGATCGTCGGACGACGACGACGCCGACGACGAGAAGGGGCCGAGGCCAGAGCACCCTGGGCCCCCCCCGGGCTTCCGCTGTCCGCGGTTCGCACTCGACGAGGCCCGCGAACAGCGTGGACTCCACCTGCGGGGGTCCCCGGGTCCCCGGCGGCCGCAGGCGAAACGTTCTCCTCGCGCGCGCCGCTTGCCGCGTGCTGCCAGCCAAGGCGCGCCGCGAGGACAGAATTTAACACGCCACCCTCGTGTTAAATTCTGTCCTTGGGGTCGTCGGGGCTTCGGCGGCCGCCGGCGAAACGTTCTCCTCGCGCGCGCCGCGTGCCGCGCTCTGCCAGCCAAGGCGCGCCACGAGGACAGAATTTAACACGCCACCCTCGTGTTAAATTCTGTCCTTGGGGTTCCCAGGTCCTCGGCGGCCGCCGGCGAAACGCTCTCCTCGCGCGCGCCGCGTGCCGCGGGCTTCCAGCCGAGGCGCGCCACGAGGACAGAATTTAACACGCCACCCTCGTGTTAAATTCTGTCCTTGGGGTCCTCGGGTCCTCGGCGGCCCGCCGGCGAAACGTTCTCCTCGCGCGCGCCGCGTGCCGCCGGCCGCCAGCGAAGGCGCGCCGCGAGGAAAGAATTTAACACGCCACCCTCGTGTTAAATTGTGCCCTTGGGGTCCCTGGGCCCTCGGCGGCCGCCGGCGAAACGTTCTCCTCGCGCGCGCCGCGTGCCGCGGGCTTCCGGCGAAGGCGCGCCACGAAGACAGAATTTAACACGCCACCCTCGTGTTAAATTCTGTCCTTGAGGTCCTCGGCGGCAGCCGGCGAAACGTTCTCGTCGCGCGCGCCGCTTGCCGCGTGCTGCCAGCGAAGGCGCGCCACGAGGACAGAATTTAACACGCCACCCTCGTGTTAAATTCTGTCCTTGGGGTCCCCGGGTCCTCGGCGGCCGCTGGCGAAACGTTCTCCTCGCGCGCGCCGCGTGCCGCGTTCTGCCAGCCAAGGCGCGTCACGAGGACAGAATTTAACACGCCACCCTCGTGTTAAATTCTGTCCTTGGGGTCCCCGGGTCCTCGGCGGCCGCCGGCGAAACGCTCTCCTCGCGCGCGCCGCGTGCCGCGGGCTTCCAGCCGAGGCGCGCCGCGAGGAAAGAATTTAAGACGCCACCCTCGTGTTAAATTCTGTCCTTGGGGTCCTCGGGCCCTCGGCGGCCGCCGGCGAAACGTTCTCCTCGCGCGCGCCGCTTGCCGCGTTCTGCCAGCGAAGGCGCGCCACGAGGACAGAATTTAACACGCCACCCTCGTGTTAAATTGTGCCCGTGGGGTCCCTGGGCCCTCGGCGGCCGCCGGCGAAACGTTTTCCTCGCGCGCGCCGCGTGCCGCGGGCTTCCAGCCGAGGCGCGCCACGAGGACAGAATTTAACACGCCACCCTCGTGTTAAATTCTGTCCTTGGGGTCCTCGGGCCCTCGGCGGCCGCCGGCGAAACGTTCTCCTCGCGCGCGCCGCGTGCCACCGGCCGCCAGCGAAGGCGCGCCGCGAGGGAAGAATTTAACACGCCACCCTCGTGTTAAATTCTGTCCTTGGGGTCCCTGGGTCCTCGGCGGCCGCCGGCGAAGCGTTCTCCTCGCGCGCGCCGCGTGCCACCGGCCGCCAGCGAAGGCGCGCCGCGAGGAAAGAATTTAACACGCCACCCTCGTGTTAAATTGTGCCCTTGGGGTCCCTGGGCCCTGGGCGGCCGCTGGCGAAACGTTCTCCTCGCGCGCGCCGCGTGCCGCGGGCTTCCGGCGAAGGCGCGCCACGAGGACAGAATTTAACACGCCACCCTCGTGTTAAATTGCGCCCTTGAGGTCCTCGAAGGCCGCCGGCGAAACGTTCTCCTCGCGCGCGCCGCTTGCCGCGTGCTGCCGGCGAAGGCGCGCCACGAGGACAGAATTTAACACGCCACACTCGTGTTAAATTCTGTTCTTCGACCGGCGGGGACGGGGGGGAATCGGCCAGTCGACCTTGCACCCGGGGGGGCGGGCAGGAGTTGCCCGGCGACCCCCGGGGGGCATCGGGTAAGTGGGGGGTGCGCTCCACACCCCCCTCTTACCCGGTGTCCCCCGGGGGACATCGGGTAACTCGATCTTGCAGGGGGGGGTGTTGGGCATGAGTTACCCGGTGGAGATGGGGGAGCATCGGGTAAGTCGACCTTGCACCCGGGGGGGTCGGGCATGAGTTACCCGGTGTCCCCCGGGGGACGTCGGGTAAGTGGGGGGTGCGCTCCACACCCCCCTCTTACCCGGTGCCCCCTGGGGGACATCGGGTAACTCGATCTTGCAGGGGGGGGTTGGGCATGAGTTACCCGGTGTCCCCCGTCGGACATCGGAGTTACCCAGTGTCCCCCGTGGGACATCAGAGTTACCCGGTGGCCCCCGTGGGACATCGGCCCGTGGGACATCGGAGTTACCCGGTGTCCCCCGTGGGACATCGGAGTTACCCGGTGGGCCCCGTGGGACATCGGCCCGTGGGACATCGGAGTTACCCGGTGTCCCCCGTGGGACATCAAGGGGGGTCTGGGCAGTTACCCGGTGGTCCCCGTGGGACATCGGAGTTACCCGGTGTCCCCCGTGGGACATCGGAGTTACCCGGTGGTCCCCGTGGGACATCGGCCCGTGGGACATCGGAGTTACCCGGTGGTCCCCTCGTGGGACATCGGAGTTACCCGGTGTCCCCGTGGGACATCGGAGTTACCCGGTGGTCCCCGTGGGACATCGGCCCGTGGGACATCGGAGTTACCCGGTGTCCCCCGGGGGACATCGGGTAACTCGACTTTCGGGGGGGGGGTCTGGGCAGAGTTACCCGGTGGTCCCCCGTGGGACATCGGAGTTACCCGGTGTCCCCCGTGGGACATCGGAGTTACCCGGTGGTCCCCGTGGGACATCGGCCCGTGGGACATCGGAGTTACCCGGTGTCCCCCGTGGGACATCGGAGTTACCCGGTGGTCCCCGGGGGACATCGGCCCGTGGGAGCATCGGAGTTACCCGGTGTCACCCGTGGGACAATCGTAGTTACCCGTGGTCCCCCCGTGGGAACCATCGGCCCGTGGGAAACATCGGAGTTACCCGGGTGTCCCCGCGTGGGACACGGAGTTACCAGTTACCCGGTGGTCCCCGTGGGACATCGGCCCGTGGGACATCGACAGACGACGACGACGACGACGACGACGACGACGACGACGACGACGACGACGACGACGACGACGACGGCGACGCCTCGTGGTCTCCCAGGGGCGAGGCAGTCTTCCCAACTGGGGTGTCCGGCAATGGGGTGTCGGGCCCTCCTCCTCCTCCTCCTCCTCCTCCTCCTCCTCCTCCTCCGTCCTCCTCGGATCGATTTTTGACGGTCCCGGGGCCCGCGGACGGCATCCAGGGGCCGAAAACGGCGAAATGACCCCTCGAGCCTCGAAGTTCGGTCGTCGATCGTCGATCGTCGTCGGACGACGACGACGACGACGACGAAGGTGGCGTGTTAAATTCTGTCCTCGTGGCGCGCCTTCGCTGGCAGAACGCGGCAAGCGGCGCGCGCGAGGAGAACGTTTCGCCAGCGGCCGCCGAGGACCCGAGGACCCCAAGGACAGAATTTAACACGAGGGTGGCGTGTTAAATTCTGTCCTCGTGGCGCGCCTCGGCTGGAAGCCCGCGGCACGCGGCGCGCGCGAGGAGAGCGTTTCGCCGGCGGCCGCCGAGGACCTGGGGACCCCAAGGACAGAATTTAACACGAGGGTGGCGTGTTAAATTCTGTCCTCGTGGCGCGCCTTGGCTGGCAGAACGCGGCACGCGGCGCGCGCGAGGAGAACGTTTCGCCGGCGGCCGCCGAAGCCCCGACGACCCCAAGGACAGAATTTAACACGAGGGTGGCGTGTTAAATTCTGCCCTCGCGGCGCGCCTTCGCTGGCAGCACGCGGCAAGCGGCGCGCGCGAGGAGAACGTTTCGCCGGCGGCCGCCGAGGACCTCAAGGGCACAATTTAACACGAGGGTTGCGTGTTAAATTTCTGCCCTCAGCGGCGCGCCTTCCCGGAAACCACGCGGCACGGCCGGGCGCGCGCGAGGAGACGTTTTCGCCGGCGGCCGCCGAGGGCCCAGGGACCCCAAGGGCACAATTTAACACGAGGGTGGCGTGTTAAATTCTTTCCTCGCGGCGCGCCTTCGCTGGCGGCCGGTGGCACGCGGCGCGCGCGAGGAGAACGTTTCGCCGGCGGCCGCCGAGGACCCGAGGACCCCAAGGACAGAATTTAACACGAGGGTGGCGTGTTAAATTTTGTCCTCGTGGCGCGCCTCGGCTGGAAGCCCGCGGCACGCGGCGCGCGCGAGGAGAGCGTTTCGCCGGCGGCCGCCGAGGACCTGGGGACCCCAAGGACAGAATTTAACACGAGGGTGGCGTGTTAAATTCTGTCCTCGTGGCGCGCCTTGGCTGGCAGAACGCGGCACGCGGCGCGCGCGAGGAGAACGTTTCGCCGGCGGCCGCCGAAGCCCCGACGACCCCAAGGACAGAATTTAACACGAGGGTGGCGTGTTAAATTCTGTCCTCGCGGCGCGCCTTGGCTGGCAGCACGCGGCTAGCGGCGCGCGCGAGGAGAACGTTTCGCCTGCGGCCGCCGGGGACCCCAAGGCAACAATTTAACACGAGGGTGGGCGGTGTTAAATTCTGTCCATTCCGGTGCGCGCCATCGGCATGGAAGCCCTCGGCAACGCGACGCGCGGGCCGCGCAGGCGATTTTCGCCGGCGGCCGCCGTGGACCCGGGGCCCCAAGGACAGAAAATTAACAACGAGGGTGGCCGTGTTAAATTATGTCCCTCCTGCGGCGCCGCCGTTCCGCTGGCGGCCAGGGGCACGCCGGCGCGGCGCGAGGAAGAACGTTTCGCCGGCAGACCCCGAGGAAGCCCGAAGAGACCCAAAGGAACAGAAAATTAACACGAGGGGCGGCGTGGTTTAAATTCTGCCCTCTCGTCGCGCCTTCAGATCAGCAACCGGCGCCCGGCGCGCGCGAGGAAAACGTTTCGCCGGCGGCCGCCGAGGACCCGAGGGCCCAAAGGACATAATTTAACACGAGGGTGGCGTGTTAAATTCTGTCCTCGCGGCGCGCCTGCGCTGGAAGCCCGCGGCACGCGGCGCGCGCGAGAAAAACGTTTCGCCGGCGGCCGCCGAGGATCCGGGGACCCCAAAAACAGAATTTAACACGAGAGTGGCGTGTTAAATTCTGTCCTCGCGGCGCGCCTCCGCTGGCAAAACGCGGCACGCGGCGCGCGCGAGGAGAACGTTTCGCCGACGGCCGCCGCGGGCCCGGGGACCCCGAGGACAGAATTTAACACGAGGGTGGCGTGTTAAATTCTGTCCTCGTGGCACGCCTCGGCTGGGGGCCGATTCGCCTGCGACGTCCTCGCAACTCTGGGCCCCCAACTGCCGCGCGCGAAATGATCCGGGCCGTTTCGCCTGAGACATCCTCGCAGCTCCGGGCTCCAGTCTTCCGTCCGAGCTACGAGCTCGCGCTTGTTGTTCCCCAAACGGCTGGGTCTGGCCGTGGCCGCCGCCGGACGGCGCCCAGCCTGCCAAACTGGGCGCTGGTCGCGGGCCGCCAGCGTGCTGGAGCACACAACGAAGAAGAGGGATGGGGAACGGCGGAGGGAGGAGAAGGGAGGAAGAAGGAGGAGGGAGGAGGAGGAGGAAGGAGGAGGAGGGAGGAGGGAAGGGGATGGAGGAGGAGAGAGGAGGGAGGAGGAGGAAGGAGGGAGGAGGAGAGAGGAGACGAGAAGGGAGGAGGGAGACGAGCGAGGATCGGGGAGGAGGGAGGAGGAGGAAGGAGAGGGGAGGAGGGAGGAGGGAGGAGAAGGAGGAGCACGGCGGAAAAGGGAGAAGGGAGGAGGAGGGAGGAGAGAAGAGGGAGCAAGAGGGAGGAGGGAGGAGGGAGCAGGAGGGAGGAGAAACAGGAAAATGACGATGGTTCATCATCTACGGGGCCACGGGGTTCACGCGCGACGACGAAACACAATACTGGAATCCCGAAGGACAGAATTTAACACGAGAGGGCCATGTAAAATTTTTGTCTGCGGCCAGCCGCTTGTGTCAAAACGCCCTGCATCAGAGCGATCTCCTCCCCAACCGCCGCGCTACTATGAATAACTGCTTCCGCGTTGCGTCATAGCGTCGTGGGCCCCAAACACGCGTTGCATTGTGATGACAGGCGCTCGACAAAGCGTGCCCCATCTTCGTATACGAGCATTGGAAACTTCGCACCAGCACTGCTTGGGGAAAACCTCCAAACCGAGGCAACGGGCAAGGAACGAGGCCTAAACGCCTCACTGCTCTAACCGCGTCCAACCTGCCACACCCCGAGGGCTCAGATAGCGCGCACCGCGTCGCGCTCAGAACCCCCGAGGCCGCTTCGCGCGAACCGACGACCGGGTTGCCGCAAGCATTGCAACGTGCTCCGCTTTGATATCTGTCAAGGACGGCAACAGCAAAGTATTGCCATGCTCGAGAAACCAGTTCTTGATGCTGTCGCTGCAAGCGTTGAACACGCTTTCGGGGCTGGGGATCCTGTTCGCCAAGCGGGCGCGCTGCGCCGGGAAAAATGTTGAGCGCATCATCACAGAACATGAAAGGTGCTTGAGCCTCCCCAGCTGGAAAACGTCGCTGGCGGAAGATATCCCTCGATGAACAGCTTGATGTTTGAACGCGGCGGTGTTACTCATGTAGAACGAGCCAGGCCGCTGCTCGAAAGCGAATGCCCCCTCGGAGTTGGGTGTCCACGCCTTCAGGACGCGATGGCCTCGGTAAGTGAGGCCAAGGTGGAGCATCCCCGCGGCCCCGTCGGTGTGGGGGTCCTCGCTCAACACTTCGGACTCGTCGGCTTTCCCCCAACCGTCACTCTGAGTAATGAACGCTTGGCCTGCGGAGATGAACAGCTCATCCACGGAGGTCAAGGCTACGTGGCGCGCGTTGGCCGTGTCTGTACCCAGCCTGCAGGAGAAGAGAAGCTAGACTGCCCCGCAAACCGTTTTTTTGGAATGGTTCGGGCTGTCATGCAAAACGTTGGGGGGTCTCAAATTCTCGACGTCGTCGTCGTCGTCGTCTCGTCGTGGTCGTCGTCGTCGTCGTCATCGTCGTCGTCGTCGGTGTCGCCGTCGTCGTCCCCCTTGATCGCATCGTCCGTGTCGTCGTCATCGGCGTCGTGTTCGGCATCTTCATTGTCATCGCTTCGGGAGGGGGTTCGGATTTTGGCGCGGTTGAGCCGACCCCGGGAAACGGGCCAGCCCACCCGCCAAACATTTCTTTCACCCCCCCCCGCAACGACGAGGTTTGAAATACTCAGGCAGCATGGCAAAGAGTCCGCGCATCCAGCGGTGGCGACGAGGACTCCCCAAGAGGGCGCGGGAAACCGGGAGGCCCGACGAAGAGCAGCACACAGCGATGGGGGATTTCCCCGGGGCACCGGTACATGCGTCTATACAAGGCCTGATTCAATGCGTCGAACTGCTCCGTGTTCTTCCGCAGGAAGGCCAACCTCCACGCCGTGGTCCGAAGAAGCACGAACGGCCTCAGCTCCAAGCCGTTGAGGCGCCTCGTGGAAGAAGTATCGGGGCTCAAGCTTCCTGATATCCAACCACCCCTCAAGGCAACAATGGTATGGATGACACGTCCGCAAACCCCTTTCACTCGCCCTCGGAGAGAAGGATCCCGTATTCTGCCACCCACCTCTGCCCTCCTCCTCCTCCTCCCCCTCCTCCTTCTCCTCCTCCTCCACCTCCCTCTCATCTTCCCTCCTCTTCCTCCTCCCCCTCCTCCTCCTTCTCCTCCTCCTCCCTCCTCTTCCTCCTCCTCCTCCCCTTCCTTCTCCTCCTCTTCCTCCTCCTCCCCCTCCCTCTCCTCCTTTTCCTTACCCCTCCTCCTCCTCCTCCTCTTCCTCCTTCCCCTCCTCCTCTTCCCTCCTCCACCTCCTCCCGCCTCCTCCCTCCTCCGCCTCCTCCCCCTCCTCCTCCTCCCCCTCTCCCCCCCCCCTTCGAATACGCTGTCCCCAAATTCCCGACCTTTTCCCTGGGGCCGTTCTTTCGTCCCGGGGAATTAGTTTCTCGAAGGCCCCGGGGCCCGACGAGGGCCCCCGGAGGCCGAATGTCACCAAGAACCTCGACCTTCCAGCGGTGGCACCTAAGGCGCAGCAGAGTACGGCCAACAAAGTGTGCCAATTTCCCCCTCCCTCCCCCTCTGCTCCGGGTGGAATATGAAGAAATGTGCGTGCCGCTAAAAAAAAAACACGCGGGCAATCATAAATTGAACATCCTGGCTCTGGCATGCGTTTTTGGATGGGCTGGTGATGACACGCGAAGCGCGTAGAATTTGAAGCTTCTTCGCTTGCGCGCCGTCCTGTTGCGCAGCTGGGCGGCACGTCCAAGTCTTGTTGGCAGACAACTGCGGAGGCGCCCAACTCTGCAGCTCCATGGCCGCCAAGTCCTTCGCCGACGTGTCGAAGAACTCATCGGCTTGCAACCAGGCCAAGACGTCGCGCTGTAGCTCCCCTTGCATGAACACGGCGTCACCGTGGACCCCATTCAGAACCATGCTCCCGTTGTGCTGGAATATCTGCAGGCCCGGCCTCCTCAAACGTGCAACTACGAGGACGTCCCCCGCCTCGCCATTGCCGAGGACTTCCGTGGTGACAAGTGGCGCCAACTTCATGTCGAACTCGCCTTTTGGGAGGACCGGGTCCAACAAGCGCTTGAGGAGTGCGCTGCACGCCCACTTTGTCCGAGGACCAACGAAGTGAACGGAGATGTCTGCCCGCCCCGTTGATGTCGCCGTCACGGTAGAGTGAGCTTCCACGATGTTGGCAGCCTTCTTCAGTTTCGCGGACGTCGGCTTGGGCTGAAAACGAAATATCCACGAGCCATGCCCCTCAGACCATGACGCCATCCGGTCACGAGGCTGCTTCGCGAAAACATGTCGGACCGCCCCGTTTCAGCACGCATCGAAGGCCCCTGCGCCGTTCCATTTCGATGCGGCGGGGGAACAGGAGGGGGAGCGGGAAGAAAGGGAGGAGGAGAAGGAGGGGGAGGTGTAGGACAGCCGAGGGGGGAAGGGAGGAGGGAGAGGAGGAGGGGGAGGGGCCGGACGAGGGCGGGGGGGTAAACCCCCCTCGGTCTCCTCCCCGTGGCATGGGGGGGGTGGGGAACCCCAGGGCGGACGGGCCCCGGGCCCCGAAACGTGACCCCAGGACCAGCCGTTCACCCTGACTCGTGTCTGGACAAGGTCCAGGGGCTTCCCGGGACCCGGGGGCAGCCCCTCGCCCCCCTTCTCCGTCTCCTCCTCCTCCTCCTCCTCCTCTTCCTCCTCCTCCTCCTCCTCTTTTTCCTCCTCCTCCTCCACCTCCCCCCCCCCTCTCCCTCCTCCTCCTCCTCCCCCTCCCCCTCTCCTTCCTCCTCCTCCTCCTCCTCCTCCTCCTCCTTTTCTTACTTTTCCTCTCGTACCTCCCCCATCCTAACGCCTCCCTCTCCTACACTCCTCCTCCTCCGCCTGCTCCTCCTCCTCCTTCCTCCTCCCCCTCCCGCCTCCTCCTCCTCCTCCTCCTCCTCCTCCTCCTCCCTCTTCCATCATTCCCCCCCTCCCAGGGCCCCGGCCCTTCGGCGACAGGCCTCGGGGAGCAATTCCTCTCGGGACCCTTTTTGTTCAGACACCCGACGGCTCGATTATGTTGAGGCGTGGGCCCCAAAGTCCCCTCGATTCGATCCCCGGGGGCGGGCTCCTCCGACCGTTTCCGCTCTGGTCCCGAGGCCCTCGCCAAGCGAGTGCGCGCCCGCGACCCCGCCAGCCTGCTGGAGCCAAAAAGGGCTGCAGATGCCACCGTCCTTGCGTGGACGCCTGCGGCGCGGACACGACGGTTCCGGGGCCAGGAGACGGCCTCCGGAGGCCGAGGACGTCGAAGACCGCCCGCTGCGATTTTGTGCGGCGTCGCCCGATATGGAAGGTCAAGTTGAAAACTGTCCTAGGAAAGGACATCTGGGGGCCGCGTATTGAGCAAGTCAAAGCATCGAATGTCGGCTTGGTGACTCGAGTGGCTTCCGTGTTGGCCATCGCCGATCAGAATGCTCCGCCATCGACCCATAAATAACGGGGAACACGGGAGGCCGAGGGGGGAGAGGAACGATTTCTATTTTTTTTGGACGTAGCGGAGGGAAGGAAGGTAGGAGTGAGGACTGAGTCCTCCTCCTCCTCCTCCTCCTCCGCCTCCTCCTCCTCCTCCTCCTCCTCCTCCTCCCTCTCTTCCTCCTCCTCTACATCCTCCTCCTCCTCCTCCTCCCTCTCTTCCTCCTCCTCCTCCTCCTCCTCCTCCTCCTCCTCCTCCTCCTCCTCCTCCTCCTCCCCCTCGCCCGCCCCCTTTGTTGCTGGAGGGGCGCAAAAAGGTGCCGACACCGCTGCTCCCCGGAACTCTCCTGGGGTGCTCTCGTCGCTCCTCCTGGCCCCTCCGCCCTCGATCCTCTGCGCGCGCCCCCCCCCCGTCGGGGGGGACAAGAGGGTGCCGATACCACCACGTACTCCCTGGACTTCTCCTGTGTGTGTGGGGGGGGGCATCCTGGCACCAGCCCCGAGGAGAATCCAGCCGTGGTGACGAGACGAGGGCTCTCCAGGAGGAGCGGCGGCGCCGCTAGTCACACCTTTCCCCCCCTCGGATGTCCCGGCTCCCAGCTCGGCTGCACGCGAGAGCGATCCTGGGTGAGAGTGACCTCTGGCGCGCGGCATAGAGAGAGGGCGCGGGGGCCAACATCCCGCGCGCAAGCCGCTGGGCGTCGCAGCGCGTCCAGTGGACGGGATACCCCACCGGGCCCGCACTCAAGGTCCCTGCGGCGAAGGGTCACCCCTACGTGTAGCCGACCCTCGTTGAGCAGGGACCGACCGCCCCGGCATTCCTATTCAGGCCTACCACGACATGTTCTTAGAGCCAAAAACTGTTCGAATAACAGAAACAATACTCTTAGAACGTACACCCGATGTGTCAAAACAAAACAGTCCCAGCCATAATTGTTCCAAGAACATCCCTTGGAAACCACAACAACAGTTTCTTAGAACACTCCTTGGTGGGCCGATGGGCGCGCCAAGACGCTCCGCCACTGCTTGACCACGAGCCACGCCCATCCCGGAGCTACATAGGCGATTTCGGACACACTGCACCCAAAATCGCTTTCATCTCTTGGGGACACATATTTTGGGCTTGTCGGGCGGGGGGGGGGGGGGTGGGGGGGTGGGGGGGGGGGGGGGGGCGGGGGGGGGGGGGGGGGGGGGGGGGGGGGGGGGGGGGGGGGGGGGGGGGGGGGGGGGGGCCCCTACGCCGAGCTTCCGCCGAGTTTCCGCCGAGCTTCCGCCGGCCTCGCTTCACTCCCGCCGCCCTCCCGCCGCCCTCCCGCCGAGGAAGAGATGACGACTCCTTCGACCCCCGACGGCGAGAGGCCCGGCCTGGAACGCCCCTCGCGGGCCGCACGAGCGGCGAGCGATCCGGCGGACGACCCGCTGCCCGCACGGTGCGCGCGCCCGCGCCAGGCCTCCCGCGCACGGGCCCGCCGGTGCCCGCCTTCTTGGGCCTGTCGTCGCCCTCGGCGGGCCGGCGGCGGGGCGGCGCGGGGGGGGCGCCCTCCCCTCCTGTCTCCTTCGCCGCCCCGCCCCCCCCCCCCGACTGCCCTGTTCCTACACGGGAGGCCGAGGAGGAGGAGGAGGGAGGGAGGAGGAGGGATGAGGAGGAGGAGGAAGATGAGCGGGAGAAGACGAAAAGGAATACGTTGCAGGAGTGGCGGTGCAAAAAGGAAGAAACGGAGAAAGAAGATGACGACGACACCGTCAACGAAAATCCGGCGACGACGGCAATGATAACGACGAGGGCGGGGGCCGACCAGGAGCAGGACAACGGCGATGGTCCGGGGGCTCGCGCACACCATTTTGGAACCACCCTGGCATTAATAAACGCTGTTTGGGGATACTGGACTCTGGCATTAATATGTTTTGTTTTTCCCTGCAGCAGCTATTCATCCATCTGGGCCTCGCGCGCAGCCAGCGCCTCGGCTCTGGATACGTCTTTATAGAATTGCGCGCCTCTGTGGCTGAAGGAGTATCGGTGGTGAGACAAATCCAGGTTGTGCGCCGACCGGAGGTAATGAAACGCCGACAGTGGTATTCTACCACCGTCTGGGACGGCGGCCGACCCAGCTTCCATTGTGACTGGCCAAGCTAGGAGGTCCGCGACAGGGACAAAAATTGGGCCGCGCCCGTGCCCAAATGCACGGGGTCGAACCGGGCTCCACGTGCCGAAAAGGTTGACTTTGGTGCCGTGCTTCTCTGGCCTGGGAACGGGCCACCACGCGGTCGCTACCGCAACTTGTGCCTCAAGTCGCTCGCGCACTACGCGTAAAATCTGCCCGACTTGGATGGGGCATTCCGCATGGGCGCAGCGCCAAATGGCGAACGCGCCGTCCTCGCATGCACTTTGGCAATACCCGACGGAACCGCCGACGTCGTTGCCCACGCTCATGAGCTGCTGTGGGGGCGCTAAATGCTTGCTCCCATGGGGTGCTACAGAGACAGCGAGATCGACGACCCTCTGGGGCAGGCCGACAAGGTTCGAATTGCCTGGCCCATCGGTCGCCCCGCGCATTCCACTCAGTATTTGCGCGAGGTGAATGCTTGACGGTAAGAAATCGGGCAATTCGTGGCGGACCAATTTCATGCAATGGTCGATGTGTTCAACCTCGCTTGCTGGTCGCTGGGCTTCCAACAGTACCGCTTTGAGCTTATGTAGCCAACGGGCGGAACCTGTCTCAAAGCCGCGCGCCCATCCTGGGCCGAGCTTGTCGGGCCAAACACCACGGAGCTCATTCACTTGCGCCCGAGTGCACAACTGCACTGCTGGCGCCCAGCTCTCACTCGTCATCCACGCTTTGTTTTGCAGCGTAAGCGTCCCGTCGCGGCCCCAAGATATGCGAATGTGGTGCGGGACGCTGGCGCCCTTGATGGTAGCCGGTGCAAGGTAAGAAGGCTGCGCCTTCAGGGGGCTCTGCGCGCTCCCCCCCTCCCCGAGCTCCAGAGGAAGGGGAGAACGCGAATGAAGATCGGGGAGTAGCGGGGGGGGGGGCATTCGACATCCCGGAGCCTCTTTAAAATCCCACAGGTCCCTCAAGTGCTTCCAGTGCGGCGGGTGTCTTAATTTCCTGGATAATATGGTGAACAGCTGCGGCAGGGACAGGACGTCTTCGCCAGCGAGCGCCCTGTTTATATACGAGAATATCGCATCCTTGATGTCGTGCGTGTGCCCGACAACCAAGAAAACAAGCTCGACGCTTTCCAGCCGAGTGCCCTCTAAATGCGAAAGCAGCCAGGCGCAAGCAAATATCATAATCGTGTTCTTTGTCTCCTTAGACGTGTTGTCGGCATTCAAGCAAAGCCGCCTTGGCAGGCACCCGATCGCGCCCACTGCTTCCTTCAGCGTGTCCACGAGCAGAGCGCAAGCCATATTGGAGCCGCGCGCATAATCCTCCAACAAAGTGTATATTAACGGCCGTTTTCCCAACACCGCTGGCGCCCACGCGCAGATCAATGACGCGACCAAGCGATCGCCCTGCTTATGGAAGGGCGCGTTAATGAGGGCCCTCACCCTCGGAAGTATTGTCTTGCCCTGGTCCATCTTGTCCCAGCCGGTCACTAGAAGTTCACGCGGATTCCGAATGCTTTCCTGGAAAGGATTGTCGAGGCACAGACGTTGCTGGCCCTGAAACTCATAATGGGCCCCAAGTGTCAAAAGAAGCTGATCTTTGATACTTTGGTCCGGCGACGTCTGGATCATCATCTTCAGGAAATCGCGCAAGCCGCAGCTCGAGAACTTCCCGCATGCCGACCGCAGCACTATGAATGGCAAGTCAACCCGCCAGGCCTTC